ATTCTTTGCCAAAATCTAAGCTACCCATCTCTTAACAAAGAGATGATGGACTCAAAGTGCAAAATGAGACATGCATTTTTTAATATGACTGATAAGGAAATGTGCCTCTCTTAGTTAGGCATATTGTCAAAATTTTCTTCCTTCCTTCCTTCCTTCCTTTCTTCCTTCCTTCCTTCCTTCCTTCCTTTCTTCCTTTCTTCCTTCCTTCCTTCCTTCCTTCCTTCCTTCCTTCCTTCCCTCCTTCCTTTCTTCCTTCCTTCCTTCCTTCCTTCCTTCCTTCCTTCCTTCCTTCCTTCCTTCCTTCTCTTCCTCCCTTCTTCTCTCCTTCCATTCCTCCCTCCCTCCCTCTTATTTTTCTTGGTTGTTTACTTGAAGAATGGGAATGAGAAGCATTTATTATTTGAAAAAAATTTAAAGAAAGAAAATAAATTATCTCTAATACCACAAAAGACATGCTACTCAATATTATGACTTTCCACATTGGCAACTAAAAGACACGTTCGGCTATGTAAAACAATAAAATAAATTCCTTCCTAGAATCTAATTAAAGTATATCTATAGCATTCCTCTGATCTAATTGTCTAGGAGTCCTGTTAAAAAAAAAAACAACAAAAGAGGCTATTGTGATAACGTAATCGGTCTTGCCTTGAGTCTCTCCCCTCTTCAATCTATCCTTCACACAGCTGCCAAACTAATTTTCCTGAAGAACAAATCTGATTGTGTCGTTTCCCTAGTCAATAAACTCCACTTGTTTCCTGTTACCCACAGAGTCAAATATAAACTCCTTTGCCTGACATTGAAGGCCTGTCACAACTTGGTTCTAGCCTTCCTTTTGTCTCAGTTTCCCCAGGACTTAAAATTGTGCTTGGCATACTGTAGTAAATACTTTTTGATTGAGGAAATGAAGTTAATCTGGCATAACCTGTTTTTGATGAAGCCAAGCTGGCTCGTTGTGTCTTTTTCTAGATGTCCATTAAGCATCCATTTAATAATATATTCTTTAATTTTGCTGGGAATTTAAGTTTAGCTTGTAGATTCCAGTTTATAAACTCCACTCTTCCATTAAAATTTTTTTTGAAAAGTGAAACAGTACTTACCCTTTGCTAGCTCTATGGCACTTTTCCTATTGTTCATCATCTTTCAGAGATCATTGATGGTGGTTCTGCAGTCAGCATTGTAGTTACCATCTAGATTGTCCGTGCCTGATGACTTGAGCTCCTTAAGGACAGCTGGATGCTCACTGACACTCTCCCTAATTGTCTTAGGTTTCATTTTCTTATTAGTCACTTTTATACTGCAAAAATAAATGTTGAATCTAATTGAATTTCGGAGTTGGAGAATTGTAGAAGATTTCCTGGAGGAGGTGATTTTTTAAATTACTTTTTTTCATTCAGCAAAAACCCACCATTTCTCCCTCTCCCCACCCAGTTGAGAACAAAAGAAAAGCAAAATTCCCAGTATAGAATATGTGTAGTCAAGGAAAACATATTTCTGCATTGACTGTGTTCCAAAGAAAAAAAATTTATGTGTACATGTGTGTATTCTCCATTCTGTGTCACCTCTGTCAGAAGGAGATAGGATATTTCATCATTTGTCCTCTGCAATTACTATGCTGATCAGAGTTCCTAATTAATTAAGTTTTTCAAAGTTGTCTTTACAATATTGTAGTCATTGTATAGATTATTCTGGTTCTGTTCACTTCACTCTGCATTAGTTCATACAAGTTTTCTCAGGTTTCTCTTAAATTATCCCCTTCATTATTTCTTATAGCACAGTTTCCATCACATTTATATACAATAGCTTATTTAGCCATTTCCCAAATGATTGCTGTCCCCTCAGATTCCCATTTTTTTGCCACTTCAAAAAGAGTTATAAATACTTTTTGTAAATCTTGAGTTTGTTTTGCTTAAAACTCATCCTTTTCTTCATCTGTCTTCCGTGGGGCAGCTAGGTGGTGCAGTGGATAGAGCACCGGCCCTGAAGTCAAGAGGACCTGATTTCAAATCCAGCCTCAGACCAAACACTTGACACTTAACTAGCTGTGTGACCCTGGGCAAGTCACTTAACCCCAAATGCCTAAAAAAAAATAACATCTCTTAATCTATCTTCCTTCTAATTCTCCCTCCTCCCCCTTCCCTCCCTTTTCCCTCTTGAATAAAAGATATTTCTGCATCTTACTCTGTGTGTGTATTCTTCTTGAAGAGGTAATGTTTAGAGTTGGGCTTTAAAGGAAAGATAGGAAATCAGTGGGGAAAAGGGTGATGAAATGTAAGGGCAAGGAAGACATAGAGAAAGAAAATTGTGAAGCATTGTGTGAAAGATGAAGTGGAGTCCAGTTTGACTGAAGCATAGAGTATGTAGAGAGAGAGGGGCTTAAACTCTGAAAAGGTGAGTAGATTTTGGAAGGCTTTGAGTGGCATGCTAAGAAAATTAAACTTCATTCAGTAGGCAGTAAGGAGCTATCAAAGACCTTTGAACTGAAGAGTAACGTGGCCAGATCTCTGCCTAAGGAAGATGCCTGGCACCAGTTTAAAGGTGAGATTTGTGTGGAGAGAGTCTATATGGGAACATCTATTAAGACTGTGTTGTATTATTAGCCTATTGGTAGCAATGAGAATTGAGAGAAGACAGATGTGGGTCATATTGCCATAATAACAACAATCAGACTTGGATTTTTCAAAGGCAGGAATAGGGATAGGAAGAAAAAGCTGAAGATAACACTAAGGTTTTGAACATGAGAGATTACGTAGTGCCATTGCCAGAAATAATAAAGTCAAAAGGAGGAGAAGGTTTTAGGGAAAATACAAGTTCAGTTTTGGTCATATTAAATTTGAGGTGTGAACAGGACAAGTAGATGTTTGGGAATGAAGATCTGGGCACTTGGGAGAGCAGTCAGTGTAGGAAGTGCAGATTTGATAGTCATTTGTGTAGAGGTGGTAGTTGAAAATGGAAATGAATGGAATTGCCGAGGAAAAGAGTTTGTAGAGAGAAGTTGGCTGAGAATAGCTTCTTGGGGATAACTTACTTTATCGGTCAGAGATAGGAAAAGGAGCCAGGGAAGGAGGCAGACAAAGAAAGAACTATTAGAACTGTAAGAGGAGTATAGGAAGTTGATGAGTAGAATTTTTCTACTCATTGTATTGTATTTGGAGATAAGGTCATAGGTTATAACTATCAATAGTATTAGCATAGAAGGTATAATAAAACCACTTAAGGGGGCTGAGGAGAGAATAAGTGGTGAGGAAAATTATCTTCTGTCTTCTCTATGTGTATCAATTATGGCTCTATTTATTTACATGCTGACTCCTCATTGGAATGTAAGTTCCTTGAGAGCAAGGATTGTTTTTGTCTTTCTTTGTATTTCCAGCTAAGCACAGTGCTTATCTAGCACATAGTAAATGGCTTAATAAATGCTTGTTGATTGATGAAAGGATTATTCATACTAATGAAGTCACACATCTAAGATTGAAGTAGTGCAGTTTTGTTGATTTTGTTCATGTAAGTAAAAGTACCATTATGAAAAAGATTCTACATCATCATCAACTTACATTTGATAGCTGCTTACTGTGTGCCAGGCACCATTTTAAGCTCTGGGTGTAAAGAAAGGCAAAAACATAATCCCTGCCCTCACATTCTAATATGTGAGACATTAGTGGCTCATAAGAGCTGTGTCTTACCGATTTGTTTAAAAGCAGATTTTGTATAACTAAAACTAACTTAACCTCTTCATGACCTAAACTCACCCTTGAGTTCTGCTACCCTGATTGGTGAGTGTCTCTCTTGTCCCATTAATCTATATAGGTTCTCGCTTTGCTCTACAATCTACTAAAGTGTAACTTTCCTAAGTCCCCTTTTGCTGTACTCCTGACTTCTTGTTTTCCTCCACCCATTTCTTCCACCCAACACAGTGATGATTCCTTTTATATAAACATTGGAAAATTCATTAAATCAAGTCATGTCAGTGGTTAATTGAAGAAATAATTTGAACACCTACTGTGAGCAGAGCACTTTGCTGAGTGTTGGGGGAAATAGAAGGTTTAGATAAAGCATCTCTCCTTCCTCCTTTCCTGTTCTAGAGTCACAATCAAATCAATACTCAAATTCAATTAATTTATGAAAAGGCGTGTCAGTCTATTCCTCTATAATTGCCCCTTTCACCACACCAGTCACTTTCTAAGCTACAAACTCCAGCTGCCACCGCTCCCCTGCTCCCTATTAGAATGGAAGCTTCCTGAGGACTAGACTGTGTTAGCTTTTGCTTTAGTGTTGTATCCCCAGTGCTTAGCAAGCATTAAGTCCTTAAATCCTTTTTTCATTCATTCTGTAACTAATAATCCAGTGCCACAGATTATTTCCATAGACTCTGTTTACCTATCAGATGTTCTTTGTTTGTCATTGAAAGAAAAGATTGAATCCTCTATGAAGCATGTAGCTTGGAGGGGAGGGAGAGCTGAGCCCCTCTAGCTTTCTCACAATTACTCATGGTTTCCTCTTAACATCTCAACCCCTTGATCACTCAGGAAAGCAGCAATATCCCAAAAGTTCCAGGAGCTAGAAGGAGTAAAGGAGTAGGAATGGTTTCGAACAATTAGATTTTTTAAAATCTTTGCATAAAATGAATAAGAATAATGAGTTTACTCAGACACTACTTCTTTTCCCTATTGGGAAATTAATTCATAACAGAAGAACTGGGCATTGGCTCGTTTTCATCTTATTGCCGACAGATTTCATAGAATAATAGAATTCTAGAGCACAAAGGGACCTTAGTCTAACCTTTTGTTTTATATTTTTAGCAATGTGTTCATTATAACCATATTTATTCTACTATGAGACAATTAGCTATAATAGAATTTTATCTGTACTTGTGAACGTTAGTGAATCAAAATGTCATTAATAGGGGTTGAGGAGGTTTAGTAACTCTAGCAATTATGTGATAATAGATACACCCTTTATACTTATCAATTATGACCCTTTCTTTACTTTTTCTCTTCCCTCAACAGATTTGCATCTGCTGGAGACGATGGAATTGTGTTTTTGTGGAATGCTCAGGTGTGTGCTGGTTTTAAATGGATAATATAATAACAATAGAACTAAATATATGAGTCAAATTATATACACTATATACTTTTCTGCATTCAGATATAAAATTGTTGATATTTTTATACTTATTCATAATAAACAAATTCCAATAAAAATATGAAGAAAAAAAATCTGAAACATTTCCCCACATTGGTTTAGACTTGTTGATTGTATTAGGGTGGAAATCCCTCCAGAAAGAAATGCCATTCACTAATGCAGCAGTTCCTCTGTGTCTTATAGTCTTGAAGAGTCTTCAGCAGAGATATTAAGTGCCTTGCTTGTGGTCAAACGGCTAATGTGTCAGAGGCAGAATTTAAAGCCAGGTCTTCTCTATTCACTATACCATGCTGCTTTTATATATTCTTTCTCCTGATACAAAAGAAATATGACAAATAAAAGGAGTTAAACTTTGTCTTGCTGTTTGAGGTAATGAAATATAGATGAAGAACTCCTGGAATGGTTTATATTTGACTTTTTGGAAACTGTGAAATAAAATTGGCAAACGTTTTGAAAAGCAGGAGAGAACAATATAAAATAATGAAAAGTATAGAGACTTTGGAAGTTGTATATATCACCTTTGATAAGCAAGATTTATAGTGACTGCTAAGAACAGTCTAACAACATGTAGCAGGCTCAGTATTGTTAGTATAAGGATGATACCTTAATCTTTCATCTGGTTTATTTTAACTTCTGAAACTTTTTTTCTAGTAGAATTGTAAATATAAAATATTGAAATCTAGAAGTGGTTTCCTTTATTGTAGTCATGAAGATAGTTTTTCTCCCATCCTGAAAAACTGTGCTTCTCCATTGTGTTGATTTCCAAAGTCAGAGTGGTGCTGTATCTGATGGCACTGAGCTTTACTAGTTTGTCAAAGTTGAGAATTATTATTGGCAGTTCTGTTCATTGAAACCCTTTGCGGCCCCAGTCTTTCAGACCACTGATTTGTGGTTGCTTGTGTGACTGTTTTTCCACCAGGCTTTTGAGCACACCTGTTTCATCATAGTGTATGCAGCAACCTTTTACGGCAAAAAGTCACCTTTTTTTTTTTTTAATCTTGGAGAAGTTATGTATTTCATTTAAGTGCTGTCTAGTTATCCAAACTGTGGGGGAACCAGCTTAAGCTTATTGGGTATATTCTGAAAGTAGAGTGGCATTAGTGACACATATTATCCTGTTTTCACCTTATTTAAAAACAGTATTAAAGAGTTTTCAATGTCGTGTCGAGGTTTCCCTGGATTCTTGAAGGCTGTGCCACAGGTGCTTCCTTTGACATGTCCTACCCCTTCGGAAAGGCTGCGGAGAGGGGCTGTGGCAGTGACAGATGAAATGACTGAGGAAACGAAGGTTCAATCTTCTGAGCATATCAATTTATTGAGCCACACACAGTGAAATGTTGGTGACAAAGCATGTCTTTATCGGCTATCATCACCAGGTTTGCCAAATGGTGATGTGCTTTGCACCATAATGACTCTTAACGATCATGTACTCAGTTATATAGGGCTTGCAGTGTGTCTTGTGTCAGAAGTTTCAACATCAGTGAAATCATAGATACTTGAAGTATTTTTTGTTGAAATTTGTTCATAAGATCTTTTTGAAATACATGAACAAATACACAGAAATTTAGGTTAATTTTGGCATTATGTTAGTGGTAGTATAATGGGAGGATTTAAAAAGTTATCAATTATATGGTATAACTGATAGCCAAGTTTCATGAGACTAGAGATAGATTCATAGATAATTTAGGGTTCATAAATGAATCATAGTTGTAGCGGTATTTTTACATCTGTCTAACAAATATGTAAAAAATGCTGTGTTATTCTGTTAGAGAATGGCTAAGAGTTGCTGATAGCTATTCTTAGTAGTTGTTGTTTTTATCACTTGGTGAATTTCTATTATAATGTATAATGTTGTAATAAAATTCGTTTCTATGGTATAATTTTGAAATAGAATTTATGGATGCTTTCCATGTGGTGATTCCTCTTAGGATTGTCACTTAAAATTATTTAATGTATGAAATCAGAGCCTATTAACATTATTTTATTTTATTTTTTCAGACAGGAGAAAAGATTTTTGAGCTCCACGGGCATACACAAAAAATAACAGCTATAACTGCATTTCCTTCCTTGGATTCTTATGAAGATAAAAGTCAATGGATCTTAACAGCTTCTGCTGATAGGACTGTTATTGTATCCTTAAATCTGAAGGAAAAAGAATAAGTTTTACTGGGAATGGAAAGTTTAGGGAGACCAAGTAGATGATGTTTTAGTTTTGAGTTTCTAGAGACTGGAGTTTAAACCTGTAGTATAATGAGAATGATCATATTTTCATTTTTGTGAGACAGTAGTAATAGTTTAAATTTATATAGTTTTAAAATGCCCTATGTATACTATCTCATTTGACCTTCACTACAGTTAGGAAGTTAGGAAGGATAAGTCTTGTTATCTACATCTTACGGATATGGAAAATGAGACTCAAAGTAGGGGAGCATTTTGTACATGTTTTCTGTAACTAGAAGACCCGGGGCAGAGCTTGAATGCAGGTCATCTGGTTCTCCAGGCTGACACTCCTTCCACTGCGTTGGTCTTTTAAAAAACATTAAAAACCTCATGATTAGTTGTTTATCTTGTGAAGTCTGGAATATAACTAGGAAGTTGTCTTGTTACAAAATACTTTTCCAAAGATGATCTATTTCACTTAAACTTTTTTTACTTAAATTTGAATAAAGGAAAGGGAGATTTTTTTCAAGACTTTTGTGCTGCTATTTTCAGTATTGTTGATTTGGTTTTCTTTTAACTTCAAGGAAGTAAAGATGAATTGAATGGGAATCAAATTTAAGTTTTTGCTGTTAGTTTCAAAAATAGAACCTATCATTAATAGGCTATGACAGGAAAAACTTTAATTTTTGGCAGATATGGATATTGCTGCATGAAAGAAATCTCTTTGGTGAGGAAAATAAAACTTCTGAGGGGACCTTTACCTTCTAAGACTAAAAGGTAAGACTAAAAGGACAAGGACTGCTGCCTTTTTGTCTTTGTTTCCCCAGTGCCTGGCCCAGAATAGGCACTTGATAAATGCTTGCAGGTGACTAAATCTTGTCCAGCCTTTCTCATTTACAAATGAGGAAACTGTGGCCAAGAGAAGGGAAGTGATTTTCTCAAGGACACAGATGGAGGAAGAGGTGGGGCCAAAACCCTAGTCCTTTGACTTCAGCTAGCATTCTCCCCGGTGTCCCAGGGTACTCTTCTGCTCTGCTGTGCTCTGCTCTAGGTCTTAAGATAGAGAGCGCTCCCAGAACATGTAAAATCTTAAGTTTTAAAAAATTTTGAAAATGCTTTTATTACACAGAATCTAATAATATTTACCCATGTTTCTAATCTTGAGGGTAGAAATTTTTCAAAGAAGGGCAGCATATGATGCAACAAAACCTCATTGATTCATCCTAAGGGGATGGCCAAATGAGTTAAAGAATACTTTGAAAGAAATGTATTATTATTGCCTTTAAAATATGTATAAAAAAGTATATGTATATGTATATATACATATATGTATTTCCATATGTATGTGTATATATATAAATATTGCCATTTGAATTAACTACTGGTATTATGATTTCTAGGTATCAGTCTAATTTGACCCCTTTTAATGAATAAATAAGACTCACTTGTAAACAATAGGATCAATTCTTTACTGTTTAAGGTTCTGAGTAAGTTAAACATCTGTTGCAATCTCTTTATAGTATTAACTTAATGTAAAATTGTTTCAGGAATAGTGCATAATTAAACTTTAGACTACATTAGGCTGGATTATCACAAACAACTTAGAGGTTAAGTAGTTAAGATTTCTTAATTTTTTTTTTCATGTTTATGCACTCTCTCTCTCTCTGTCTCTCTCCATATATGCATATGTACATATATGTGTCTCTGTCTAACTATTTATCTGTTTTCTTGTTCATGTATGTATGTATGTATGTTATAGTTTGGAGTAGTTAGAGAAACAAAAAAAACATAAAAGGTATTCTCAGGGATGTGGCAAAAAACCATTACTTTTTGATATCTATAAATAATTTACAGGCAGGATTTGTACTTTTTGCCATGATAAGAGGGCATTTTGCATAACGAAAAGCAGGGATAAGAATCAAGTCTGGTCCTGTGGTTTCATTGGTTTTGGGAACTTCTGGATTATGAAACATTCTCTACCTGCTTTCTCTTCAACTTAGAGTCTGAGAAAGGTCATAGGGCACCTAAGTTCTCAGAATTCGAGAGCCCAAAACTATTTACATATTTGCCTATTAAAACACTTCTTCTTTTTCCAACTACAAATCTTTTTGTGGCCAGATTTTCTCTGTATACTTTAACTACAACAACATAAGACAACAGATTAAATGTAGAAGCAGATATGAGAATGCAGTTGTCTTTAAAGCCACATATTAAAGAAATGTGCAAAATATGTAAAACAGTGCTACTCCCACTTTTAAAAAATATATTCTTCATAAAAAATAGATTAAGTTAACATGTAATAGATTCATAATTGTTATTTTGATGAATTAATATTTTAAATTGTATGTTTTATTTTCTTAATATGGCAAATATAGATAGATATAGATAGATATAAATCACATAAAACAAAGTTCTTTGGGGTCCTCAATAATTTTTAAGAGTGTCAAAGGGTCCTGAGACCAAAAAGTTTCAGAATCTCTGGCTTAGAGCACTAAGAAATTATGTGATTTATAGATCACACAGCCAGTGTGTATTAGAGATAGCACTTGAACCTGGGCCTTCTTGGCTTAATTAATGATAATGATCATTTATTAGTATAGAGATATTCTTGATTTTTGTAATGGAAAGAGAACTGGATCTGGAGTCAAAGATGTGGGTTCAAATCCTGACTGCCACTTACTACCTGTGTGACCTAGGGATTTGTTTTCTCTCTCTTGGCCTCCATTTCCTAGTCTACAAAATGAAGGGGTAGGTAATACTGATGGTTGCCAAAATCCTTTCTGGCTTCAAATCTACAATTACATGATTTATGTAATTTTTATAACCTTGGGCCAAATGTTCTTTTGGCTGTTTTGGGTAATCTGGTAGTAATATCTTTTAGATTCAAGATGCAGAATGAGAGATACATTTTTGAGGAGAGCTGATGTGGGGACTTGTTTTGCTTGACTGTGTATTTCTTCCAAGGGTTGGTTTTGTTTTTTCGGTTGTCAGGGGGAGGTCAGAAAAGAGAACATAAATGCTTATTAATTGAAAAAAAAAGTTTAAAAAATAGTGATATCTTATATTGTTGCATATCACACCCCTGCCACTCTACTAAGTAAACTAATGTATGTGAGGTTACTTCTATAGCATTAAAAACACTAAAGTTGAAAAAATACTTAAAAATGAATTATAGCAGGAAGGAGAAATTTTTAGTATTTAAAACAATTACAAGATAGGCATCACATAATAAAGACAGAATTGTGTTCAGAAACTACTTTGCATTTCCTTAACAAATTCAGATTTGGGATTGTGATACTGGCAGACAAGTTCAGAAAGTATCATGCTTCCATTCCACAGTCAAGGTAAATGTTGGGGGTGGTAGAGGTGGTGTATAATTTGCTTTTATTGCTTTGTCTGAGAAATATTAAATCATGAAACAGATAAAGTGAAAATTTCTGCATTTATGCATTGCTTTATATAAACCTGCAGTTCTTTGAAGATTATGCATTTTGTGTGTATAGGTAAGGTTGATATATATTTCATCTGTTTCTCCAAGGCTCAAGGGTGAGGGTGTTTACTGCTGAAGGACATGGGATTTTCCCAGGCCTTAATCCAGGGAAGTCCCAGTCCTGTGTTAGCCCCATTTATTGAAAAAGAATCCCTAGGTGATTCTGCTGCCAGAAAGCATACTGTTCTCTCAGAGAAGTGGGTGCCTGGGTACCAGTTTATCCCACCTCAGATGGTGAGTGAGGGGTGTAAGAGTACGCAGGAGAAGGAAGGGATGGTCCAAGTTCTTTCCCATACCTCTAGAATACACTGGGGCAATATGGTAAAAATAAATGCTTAGAAGATCATACATGCCAATTTTATTATGGTACTCATTTCTTGGCTAAAAACGTGATAGAATCCTGGCAACCTTCTCTGATAAGCATAGCTGGACTTGGGCTTTGGATTCTTCATGAATCTAGAAGTGGGTACAACCTCTTGACTCCTTGTTCCTCATCTTGATGGACAAATGTGCATCTCACTGATGGCCATTCTGGGCAGCTGCCCAGGAATGAATTTGTGAGTAGCATGGACTGGTCTGGTGTCTACCCTTAGGTACTCTAGTTGATGAGTAAAGGAGTTTGGCTCTTTTCTCCTTGATCATTGTCATCCTTGTATTCAGCTAGAAGATTTGAGCCTAGAGCAGAAGACAATGCCTGGTGGAAGGTACGTAATACTTGGTACCAGGCTCTGAGCTACTTCTGGGCATCCATCGTATGTTAATTTCATTCATGATATATGTGCAGAAGTAAATGACTGCTTTCTTTTAATTTTCTCCCTTTTGAGCAAATATTATTGACATCTCTCTCATTTTGCATTCGATCTCATTTCAGGAGAGGAGGAATGGTTTTGCTTAACCCACTAAACTCCTAGCTTATCAATTAATGGGCTAATAAGGCTTTCCTGTTCTTTGCTGCCACTGTTATTAACAGTAGCAAGAAAAGAAAAGTTATCTGGGAGCATTCTAGCTTCTGAATCCTATCAGGAAGTTTGGGAAAACATGCTTCTTGATAAAGTCATATGAGATTTACTGTTGTCTAACAGCTTTCAAGGCAGTTGGCACATAATGTTGTTCAGTTGTTTCAGTTGTGTTTAACTCTTCCTGACCCCATTTGAGGTTTTCTTGGCAAAGATACTGGAGTGGTTTGCCATTTCCTTTTCCAGCTCATTTTACAGATAAGGAAACTCAGGCAAACAAGGTGAAATGACTTGCCCAGGGTCACACAGCTAGTGTCTGAGGCCAGATTTGAACACAAAGATGAGTCTTGCTAATACCAACCCAATGTTATATCCACTGTGCCACCTAGCTGCCTTTAATAAATGCTTATTTAATTGAATGAATTTATCATTTTAAAGAAAAATAAGTGGGATAATGTAGCAAACAGTCCTTTGAAAGAAAAAAAAATCTTGACATACCAGAAGTCAATACCACCTCTTTTCTTAAAAAAAGAGCAATATTTCATGTGGCTATTTAAAAACAGTAAGACTAATTTCTCTGAGGAAAAAAGTTATGTTTACTAAAACATCAGTGATCTATATGATAGTAACATAGAATTTTGTTTGAAGATTCTATTTGAAACATTGACTTCTTTCAAATCTATCAGTTTTTATGGTCTAAAATGTTTCCAGTCCAAAATATCTTTTACCTTTAAACTCCTGAAAAGATAATTTTGAAAAGGTAATTACTGTCTAAAAAAATCTATGTTATTCAAATTCCAAATAGTAATATATGATTTCAAGTGCTAGGGGGTAAGGGAAGATATGTGTGTATATGTATTTAAAGACGGGAAGAAAACATTCTTTTTCTCTCTGCTTTCACCTACTGTGGAAAAAAAAATTCTAGGAACTAGTTTAATTAAAAGTATATTTAATTCAGTAAACATTTATGACATTGCTATTTCCTTTACCAGATCCCCTGGGAGATAAAAACTAGATGAGACACTGTCTCTGCCCTTATAGAGCTTATAGTCTTATTCTAATGTCACTGCATGGGGAGTGAATCAAGTGACTTATTTAGAAGATTTTTAGAAACATTTTCCTTAAATACCTGTTTTTAATCCATCTGCAGTTGGCATATTGTAAAAGGTCTACTGGTTCTCTAGTAGAAATAGCATGGTTTAATCAAAAAACTTCTCACCTTGGAGTCAGGAGAGAACTGGAAATAAATCCTTCCTTTGACGCTTCGGGTCTTAGGGTGTAGAGTTGGAAGGCACTCTAGTGGTCATCTGGTCCAACATTATCATTTCACAGGTACGGAATGGTTTGCCACAGCAGCTTTTCAGGGAAGCTGAGAGCAAGATCAGCCCAGGACTGAGATTCTCACTGCCAGAAAGGATGAGAAACGAATTTTGCAGTGATCTGCAAACAATGTGCAATGTTTGTTCTTCTGCCCCAACCAGGGACTTTTATCTGTGTTCAAAAGGGAGGCTGGTTTCTCTCATAGAATAGATGTTAAAAGGATTGAGGAACACATCTTTGTTCTCCTGGTCACTAAGGAAGTGTCCCCCCCCCCCCTTTTTTTAAATGGAATAAAAGCTTTCAATGGGAATAAGAAAAAGGATCTGAAAAGGGAATGGAATCCTGACCTGTCGGGAGATTGGAAAGTGGTAGGCTGTTACACAAAGAAGAAAGGGAGGAAGAACCACTGAAGATTTTGAGCAATAAAAACGAGACTTTTCCTCCCAAGGAGGGCACTGGAAGCTCTAAGGATACAGTAGCTGTACAGCCTCCAAAGAGTGATATGATAGGTCTGCAGCGTATTGAGGAGGAAAGATCATGTAATGAAATTAGGGAAAAAGAAATAAGTAGTGGTGGTTGGTGACTCCCTGCAAAGAGTTACTTAGTCAGCTGTTTGTCAACCTGATGTTAACAAAAAAGTGATTATCTGTTTTCCTGGGGTATATATCTAAAATGTGACAGAAAGTTCAACATTTGTCATAATGAGTACCAGCCATTGCTGATTTAGACAGGTTCAACTCCATATAAAGATGACAGTCTCAGTGTTGTAAAGGAAAGTAGCTTTGAAAATTGCTAGAAATTCACAGGATGTAACACTCAAGAAAACAGCCAGCAATAAAACCCACAGCCTTAAATGTCTGTATACAAATTATGGGTGACAAATAAGGGAATCAGAGACCCTAAAGTACAGAGGCAAATTTGGCCTTCTATAAGTTGAGACTAATGCCTGGAACATGGCTCTAGAAAGGGTGAGTATTCCTTGTTTAAAAGAAAAAGGAGAGGTTAAGGAAGTGGGGGGAGAGGAGTAGATGTAGTAAAATTGTTTATTAAGAATATATATCATTTGAGGCAATCCAGAAACCAGAGGGGGCATAAAGTCCAGTCAAAAGCAAATGAACAAACAGGAAACAAAGTAGATGCCTGGGGACTGGAGAATGGCTGAACAGATTGTGGTATATGCATGAAATGGAATACTACTATACTAAGGAAGGGCACAACAAATGTGATGAATGCAGAGAAGCGTGGGAAGGAAGACATATCAAATTGGATAATATGTAAAGCATTTTACAAACCCTGAAGTACACTGTGGAAATGTTAGATATAATTATTATGAGAACTTTTACAGAGCGAACTAAGCAGAACTAGGAAAACAATATACACAAATGATTATATCCTATGTAAATGGAAAAAAAAACCCAACAACAAAACAATTAAAACTGAGTTTTGTGAAATTGTAATGACCAAAGTTCGTCTTGAAGAAGATATGTAAGGTATGGTATCTCTTCCACTTCTTTGCAGAGGTGAGGGACCGACAGTGAGTGTGGAACACTGCATATAAATGTCAGCCTTTTTTTGATGTGTTGGTTAGTTTTGCCAAATTGTTTCTCTTTTTTATTTGTTGTAAATGACTCTGTGGTAGAGGGACAGGGAGAAGTACATTGGGAAATGCAGGTGATATAATAACTTTAAAAAATCAGTAATTTTTTGAAAAAAGGAATGCTATCTAGGATGAAATAGAAGAATTGTATAGTAGAGAATTACGTTATAATTCTGTTATGGGAGCTAGGAGGCAAAATTTAACTCTATTATGATGATACTGTTTACCCCATATGACATCTACTCTGTGGACTTTACATTTTCTCTACAGAGAAGTGTAATCTACCTAAATAAGTACCACATGTGATTTTGACCCTCAGTGTAACTGAATCAATAATATGGCAAAGTGCTCTGAATAGGGTTTTCTTGTAAAACTACTCAGTCAATAACATTTGTATACTAAGCACTACCATTTTAAATGGAAGATTGTTAAGATTTATTACAGGGCTCAATTTAATTTATAGCTAAAATTCAATGATGTTCCACTTAAGCAGCAGGAGAAATATGAGATGTTTTAATAACTTAGTTGCAAGTGTTCCAAAAGTATTGTCTTCTCATTACACATAGGGATCCTGAGAGACTTTATCTACCTTTAATTGCATTTTATCTTTCTCTCAGTCTTAGGAAGATAATACACTGGCAAGTTGGAGGGAGGGGAAGGAGGCAATGTTAAGATGTGAATGACTGTGTGGCTATCAGAACTGGAATGCTTATATTTTGTGAATATTCATCATCATTTCCCAAAACATTACCTTGTTCATAGAAATGCTGAGATTTACTTAAAAGATCCTGAGAAACTTGGTTTTGTCCAAATGGAAATTTATTTTAGCATTGTGTTGATTTTTTTTTTTTGCATTCAATACATTTCAAATATTTGATTCTCCAGTGTTTGACAGTTCTTCAGAGACTGGATGTTTGGCTGTCTGGTGGTAGTGACCTCTGCGTTTGGAACCGAGAATTAGATCTCCTGTGTAAGACTAGTCACCTCTTTGATACAGGTAAGAGTAAATTTCAGATAACAGTGAACTAATAAATACTACACTTGAAAGCACAATAGTTCTTCCTAAAAACTTTCCATCATTATTATTTGCCAGTTAACTGTGGAAAGGAAAAACTCCGAATGCTCTCAACTCCTTCTGCCCCATCCCTTCCACCAAGTTCTTAAAAATGAAAGGACACTATCGTTTGTTCAGTGGATAAGAAAAAGTTTTATTCATATGTTCTTTTCAACATTTAACATCTGAGGCCTGGAGAGATGGCCATAGACCTTACCCCATTGGGTTTCATGACCATGTGAGGGTCTGAAGGTTTATTTCCCATAAGGAGAATTGGCTTCAGTATAGACCCTGAAGAAGACTTCAACTTTTAAAAATTAGACTTATTTTGAAATTCTTCTATTGGTGAATTCACCAACAAAATCCTCTTCTTTTGAATTTTCTAATGGTTACTACCGGTGGACAAGTCATTTAACCTCTCAGGGGGTCATATTTTTTGTGAATAGAATGAGAGCAGTTGAGCTAGAAGGCCTCTCAGGTGCCTTTCAGCTCTACATCTAGGATCCTATGTACTTGAGTCATTTAACCTCTGTGTCCTCATTTGTAAAATGGAAAGAACTCCCTTCACTAAGTTGTTGTGAAATGATGCACATGAAGTACTATGCAAGGCTTAAAATGCTACATGAATAAGTTATTCTCTTTTGTCCAGTGATAAGGATTTTTTAAAATGAAATTCATTTTACAAGATAAACATATTTGAATAAAAATCAGTATGTTTAAGTACAACTTGAAAATGTGTGTTGTACTGTTAAAAATACACTTTGCTAAAGTAATCCAAACAGCTTACAGGCACACTGGGAAGAATAATATTGTGCACCTTGTTGAAGTTTTATAGGCAGCATGAGTATTGTGAACCACATTTACAGCTCACAGTTGGAACTAGCTTTTACTCCACGTAGATATTATAAAGTATCAGAAAAATAATGAGATGGCTTAGCACATGTATATACACAAACACTACCAGGTATTGCAGTTTAACCTCCCGCCTCAAGGTTTTGTTACTAACAACCTCATTTGAATCTAGAGCATACCTCTCTACTCTCTGCTATTATCGTAAGGTATGTCTCTTCGTTTACATCCAAATTTTCCTTTCTGTTTCTCACACAGGCCTGTGGTTCTCTCTGCATCTTTTCCAGCAAATTATTGGTAGCTATATTGTGAAATGATGTTTAAGAAAACGTCATATGTGTTAATGGAAAAATCAGATACCATGCCATTCTTCCTTTCATCAGTGAGCTGATGTCTGGGCCTTAGCCATTATGTGATCACAGTATGGGTCAGTTTGTCAGAGGTCCCAAGGGGTAACAAAAACCTTTAAATAAGGAGTATTTCATGTGAAGGTGGAATCTATTAGAAAACTTTGAAAAGACTCCAGGCCAGTGAATTGTGATGTTACCATGCTCTGGTTTTCCTGTTGCCAGAATGCCAGGCAGTCAGTAGAGAAGAGATTTTGCTATTAGCCCCTCTGTCTCATAATACCCCTTTAAAACTCTAGCTCCATTTATGGGGCAGTTGTTTTTAAAGTAGTGGTTATTCTGTTCAGAGGGAAACAAAGGGGGCAGTTGTTAGCTTTAAGAATTTGGTCTTTATGTAGTTGACCAGTGAGTACAATTAGCTTTACCTTCTCATTAGATGTTCTTACTATACAATAAAGATGGAACTTTAATTAGAACTCACTATCACTTCTTTCTCTGAGTTGTAGCATACCAAAAATTTTGAAATGTCTGAGGATTGCTACCACACTAACTCCACTTTTGGAAGTGGATATAGGGACTGTTTTGTTGCATGGCCTGGGAGTTGTAACCATTTGAGCTGGAATTCTTATGGATTACATACAGCATTAGGTTCAAGATGGTGAGACCTAATAATCACCTTGATTTATCCAGTTATAGTTAGAGAGGTGACAGCAACATATTTCAATATTTTAAGGATCTGTGATTTCATCAAAAATCACATACTCTCACCACTGACAGATTGCAAATATTATATAATTTAGTAGTTGGTCTTTGGGACAGCTAAATGGCACGGTGGATAGAGTGCTGGGCCTGGAGTCAGGAAGACTCATTTTCCTGAGTTCAAATCTGTCCTCAGACACTTACTAGCTGTGTGACCCTGGGCAAATCACTTAACTTTATTTGCCTCAGTCCTTCATCTGTAAAGTGAGCTGGAGAAGAAAATAGCAAACACTCTAGTATCTTTGCTAAGAAAATCTCAAATGGGGTCATGGAGAGTTGGACACGACTGAAATGACTGAACAACAACAGTTGGTCTTCAAGAGCTTCTGTGATTGAAAAATTCATCATCCATGGCCAATCTGGTGATAAACCTCTGTTAATTTAATGTAGGCTGGCCCTCAAATGAGAGATAGTCATTGCCAAACCTAGCCAGCTCTATAGGATCTGCAGAGATAGCCCTCCACTGAAATAGCCTCCCGGAACCCAGGGCTGCCTCTATGCCATGATGAAGCACTGGAAGAGGATTTTCGTGAAGAGACAGCAACATAATTTTCAAAAAAGCAGAGAGTAGAAGATGTGTCTCTGACACTCTGTAGTTAGATAACTCACTGTCACCTGAAGTGGAGCGCTGGCTGCCTCCAGACTTTTGGAACATCCCCAGGGATGGGCCTCAGAAAAGCCCTCTACTCAGAGATGGAGAAGGCAGAGGCACTTCCTGGGGAATCCTGGGGTGTTTTCTTACCAGCCCTACCTGTGCTCTTATTTGGGGCTATGTGGCTGTGGTTATGCTAAAGATGAAGGAGAGGAACACAAATACCAGAAGTTCCCATTGAAGAAAGTAAAATAATGGGCCGGAATGGAATGCTATTTCTTACCTGCAGAAGTAAATTGAGGATTTTGTAAATGGGAGGCCTTCTCATTTTCTGGGGAGGAGGATAGGGTAGACTATTATATATGTATACTTCATTTCACATCCAGAATTTTTCACAGATAATTCAAATAAATAAATTGGCCTGATTAAAAAATAGTGCTTTAAAAATAATATTTTAAAAATACCTGTTCCCAGCTTCAGAGTCTATTTAAAAGTTGATGGTTACAACCATAGACCTTTAGAAGTCATCTAGTCCAGTTCTTTCTTTTCCTAGCAGAAATTGAGGCCTTTAGAGGGGAAGAAACTCACCCAAGATCATAGAGCTAGGTGGTAGGAGAGTCAGAATCGGAACCTGGGCCTTCAAAGCCAGGGTTTGTTTCTGCTATGCCAGTATCTTCTCATTACAGTTACCTTGGGAGTGGTGGAAATCTGATTTTTGTTCCTCTTAGAGCAGTTCTAGTTATCTGGGTGTCGTGTCATATTTACACCAGTGCCTATTAAGCTGCAGGTCAGTTTTTGCATCAGGGAGAGGGACAGTCCTCATGTTTTTGGGTACAGGAATGGTTAGCATTGAGGCAGTGCCTGAACATGAGAGAAGGAAGACCAGAAATCCCAGGCTCTTCCTTTCTGTTTCAACGGGAATGAGTCCTGGATCCAAATGACTGGATCCATGTGATTGAGTGATGCCAAATCTTTTCAGTTCACGGTGAAGGTTTCTCAGTGTAAATAGGTGACAGCACCAGGAACATCATGGCAATGATAAAGATGATGACGCTTCCTACAGTCACTGTTCCTCATGAAATTTTTGCATGCAGCTTATTATAGGGCTAAAATCAATACCAAGAATTGCCTTATACAACCTCCCACATGAGTTCCCTTTCCCCCCAGTCAGGACTTCCGCTTTTCTAGGAGTACTGTGGCAGGAGGAATGTCAAATCAATGCCCCTCCCCCTTCTGTAGGACTGAACAGACACTTTCTCTTCCTTCCTCTCCCTCCCAAGAAAGCAAATCACCTCCCAACACCACCCTTTGATTTTGCAATCTCCATCAGTTTCAGATTATAGCAAGCAAAGGACTGCATTAAAACTGTACCACTGTCCATGCCAGTGCCTACTTTCCTAGGGCCAGTGGGCAGGTGGAGGGGAGAGAGAGAGAAAGAGAGAGAGAGAGAGATGAGGAAGAAGAAAAAGGAGGAGGAGGAGGAGAAAAGATGTCTTTTTAAATTGATGCAGCATTTCTGTGCATTGTGGGGTATATTTATCCATGTTTTCAATCTGTGAAAGTCTTAGAATTCTTAGGGAGAACGCTTCCTCTGTGCCTTATCATAAAAAGAGTCCACATGTCACAGCTCCCAGTGGTCTCACAATTGCCATGTAAAAAGTTCCTGCAAGTTCCTTCGGTATAGATTTTAAGAAATCCCCAAATACTAGGAACACAGGTAAGGCCCATTCCTCAAAAGGCTGACTATGCCCATGTACAACTAATATCACTCTCACAGTTAGGGTCTTCAGTAGAAGACTGCTTGTTCTGCTGCATTTACATTTCAAAAAAAATTCAAAAACAAAAAATTTTCACCTCGCTCACACACAAATCTCAGCTAGGTACTTAAAGCTAAGAGGAGCTTCAGCTTTTTTTTCTTTTCCTGTTAGAGGGAAAAAATTTCCCAACCCAAGAATTTCATCATTCCTTGCTGATTCAAAGGTAAGCTGAGTAACGAGAAAATTGTTTGGTAGGACTTCTGTTGTTGTTGCTATTGCTGTTGTTCAGTCGTGCCCGACTCTTGGTGATTTCTTTTGAGATTTTCTTGGCAAAGGTACTGGAGTGGTTGTTGTTTCCTTCTCCAGCTCATTTTCCAGATGAGGAAACTGAGGCAAACAGGGTTAAGTGACTTGCCTAGCTAGTAAGTATCTGAGGCTGGATCTGAACTCAGGTCTTAACTCCAGGCCCACTGTTCTGTCCACTGCACCACCTAGCTAGGGCCTGGAGGTGGCCAACTCACCAGACTGGAAAGACCAAGACCAGAAGAGTTGGTGAGAGCCACAGTTTATAACAGTCATCTTCAGGGCACAGTTTTCAGAGGAAATACCATGAAGTAGGCTTTTTTCTTGCCAAGGCCAACCCCTTCCTAACATGTGCCCTTGGTTGCCTTCTGTCTAGTCTTCTCCAATGGATTGTAAACTCCATTCCTCCCTTCAGCTCCTAAATCAACAACCTTTCCCTGTCTACTGGTCCCTTCCTTACTGTCTTCAGACATCTCTTGAGTCTTCCCCATCCTTGAAAGACCTTCATTTCCCTACTTGGCAAGCTTTTGTCCTATATATATATATATATATATATATATATATATATATATATCTTCTCCTTTGCAGCCAGACTCCTTCAGAAAAGTGTCTTGCTGCCTCCCTTTAATCTCCTCTCACTCCTTAACTGCAGGATGAGGTTGGAAACAATCTGGCTTCCATCCTTATCCCACAATTGAAACTGTTATCTCCTAAGTTACCAGTGATCTAATTGCCAGACCTGATGGTCTTCTTTTAGTTTTCATCCTTTTCAGCTAATCTGTTGCATTTGACAATGTTGACCATGCTCTCTGGGATGCCCTTTCCTTTCTGGGTTTTTGTCAGATTTTCTCCTGTTCTCCTCCCACTTTTCTCTGTCCTTTTCTTTGCTGGCTCATTATTCATGTCATATTCTTTTACCATGAATATTCCCCCAAGGTTCTGTCCCAAGCCCTCTTCTCCATGTGTTCTCTGTCTGTCTGTCTCCCCCTCTCCTTCTTTTGATCAGCTTCCATGGGTTTATCATCTTTGTGACTTGCATCCAGCTGTGGTCTCTTCCATGAGCTTGACTCTTGTTAGCAGTTTTGTATTGGATATTTCAAACTGAGTGTCCTAGAGACATCTCAAAATCAACATGTCCCAAACTGAAATTGTTACCTTTGTTCCTAAACCCTCTTCTCTTCTAAACCTTCTTAGTTTTGTTAAAGGCACCACTATCCAGGTTTGTAACCTTGGCATTATCCTGCACTCATCACCATCTCTTATCTCGCGTATCTAGTCTATTGCCAGATCTTGCCCTTTCTACCTCCACAACAGTTAAGAGGCTAATACAAGAGTTTAGGCAAGAGGTGACAAGGGGCTGAATTCGAATGATGACTGCGTGGATGGAGAGGAGGGGACAAGTGCAAGAGATATTGTGATAGGCTAGAAGAGAATCAAGAGAGACAGAGCGATGTCGTAAAATCCCGGGGTTAGGATTGAAGAAAGGCCATTGTCATCCAAGGCATATAGATAGCTAAGAGAAATAAACAAGCCCAAAATCCAGTACATGTGGTCAACAGATAGCAACAAACATTTCTCAAAAGAATTGTAAACTATTCATAACCACATGAAAGAATACAGCAAATCACTGATAAGAGAAGTGCAAATCAAAACAACAGTAAAGTTTCACCTCACTCATTAAATCGTCAAGAATGAAAAAAATTAGCGTAGAAGGGGTATAGAAAGATGGCTTTGCATTGTTGGTAGAGCTGTGAATTGTGTACAACCATTCTGGAAAATGGTTTGGAACTATACCAAGAAAGTGACTAAAATGTCCATACATTTTGGCCCAGAGATTTCCCTGGTAGGCACATTCCCCAAAGAGGTCAGGGACAAAAAGAATGGCCTTATTTACACCAAAATATCTACGGTAGTACTTTTGTAGTAGCAAAAACATGGAAACAAAGTATATTGATTGGAGAATGGCTAAACAAATTGTGGTATGTGAATGTAATGGAATATAACTATGCTACAAGAAAAAATGAGCATGATGACTACTACAGACAAGCATGGAAAGACATATATGAAGTTATATGCAAAGTGAAATTAGAAGAACCAGGAAAACACAATGACTATAACGTAAATGGAAAGAGTGACAACAAAATAATTGAAACTGGAAACAGCAAAAGTAGGATGACCAACATTAATTTTAAAGAAGAGATTGAGAATAATCCTCTTCTGACCATGGCTGTGGTAATACTGCATAGACTGTCAGATTTTTTTTTGATATGTTGTTTAATTAGTTTGTGGATTTTTTTTAAGGTATTCATTATAAGGGATGGCTGCCTGGAAAGGGGGTGAGGTAGAAAGATAAAGTGAAAAATAATACGTGATATAAAAACAGAACACTAATAAAATTTATTCTTTAAAAAAGGAGATCATTGATAACTTTGGAGAGAACTTTTCAGTTGGGTAAGGTTAGAAGCCAGATTATAGAAGGTTGAGGAGTAAAAAGAGAAGGAATATACTTAATGAATATAGATAGTTTTGGTTTTTTCCCCTAGGTATTTGGCTACAAAGGGAGGAAAAATGTAGGAAAATAGCTAGAGGGGATGGTAGAATCTAGCATAGTTTTTAAAAAGACTTGTCTTTGGTCAAACAATTAGAATCTATGAGAGATAAGATTTGAATTCAAGTCATTATTACTAACTGCTATTCTATTCACTATGCCATGCTGTCTCTTTTTGACATATATATATTTATTTAATCTTTTTAAAAATTTTATTTATTTATTTATTTTGTTGGTAAGTCAATTTGGGTTTAGTGACTTGCCCAGGGTCACACAGATAGTAAGTGTCAAGTGTCTGGTCTGAGGCCAGATTTGAACTCAAGTCCTCTTGTCTTCAGGGCGGGTGCTCTATCCTCTACACCACCTAGCTGTCCCCCATATATTTTAAAAATACCTTAAGAAAATGAATTATTGCTAGCAGCTTTGACTGTTACAAACCCAATGTGTAAATTCTTTCTTCTTTGCTAAAAACAGTAATCACTTCAACGTTTTCCAAATGACTTGAACCTCTTCAGTTACCCTAAAATTGTACTAACAGAAATCCTATATGCCAATCAGTAATTCCTAGAAAGTCAAAATTATAGTATTTAAATTAATTTTTGTATTATGGCACAATGTTGTATTTCATTCTTTCAGGATTTGGAGTTTACAAATTTACTTAATAGCCTTTGAAAACCATTGGTTCAGGCTAGTGATCTCAGATACTTAGTGAAAGATGCCCTGAGGCTAAGATTGGGAGCATATTAAGACACAACAGGAAAAAACTTAGTTTTCACAGTTATAAACTGTACCCCTGATCTCAGCCTGCCATTGAAATAGGTGCTGTTGAACTTGAGGTATACCAGAGAAATAACGTCATCTTTGTGACACTTTGTGAAGGTGGGCATGAGTGAAAGATTTTTGGGACTTCAGTTACATTCACAAAATAATTTCATTGTTAATCAGAGAAATAGGCATATCCTTTTGTAGTGTATTGTTGAAAAGCCTGTCAATTTATGTTTTTTTGGGGGGATTGGGTTGTTTTTATCCCTGTCCGTGATTTTATTGGTATAGGAAACTTTCAGTGAAGAAACACCTTTACCAGTGCAGATCTGCAACGATTTTTTTCAAGTTATAATCCTGAATAGTTGCCTAGAGCACTGAGGGTAAGTGACTTGCTTAGGGTCACTAGCCAGTTTGTGGCAAGGCAAGACTTGAACCCAGGTTGTCTCGTCTTCAAGGCAACCGGCCTACAATGTCATGCTGCCTCTCCCATTTTATGTGAAATTTAGAAGAGAGGATTTGTGTTGCTTCTGTTTTAATTTATGAAGAAAATAATTGTCTACCCATTGCTTTTTTATGCTTTTGAAGGGATCAGTGCTTTGATTGAGTTACCTAAGAACTGTGTCGCAGCAGCAGTTGGCAAAGAACTGAGTGAGTATTTGGCCGGGCCTTGTTGTTGTTGTCACTGTAGCTTTGATTGTTTTGTCCAGACCAAAAGCTACCCCTTAGACACATGCAGGAGGGAGTCCTCAGCTGTATCCTGGGAGTACCTGGAAAATCACTAGAACAACTATTGGTGTCATACTAAAGCAGAAATCAGGGAGATTCAGTAGAGTGACTGAAAGATGCTAATCCTCAGGACATGGGGTAGAGCACTGAGTTTCTCTGATCAATATGGCTGGGAAATGAAACAGAGAAGACCCTTCCTCTTCCAGCTTAACTCTGGGCACCAGGGGTGGCAGATAATCTTGGTGTGGTCCCTCTTGCCTTCTTTTCTCTCTATGGGGTCGAGGCTGAAAGTAGTGTGGTATCTCTGTGTTTCTTAAAAGCTACAGGAGCAGCTGCTTCCAAATAACAGTTTTTGGAAGGGATGAAATTTTAAAATATCTCATAAGACCAATCTGCATCAGTGGGTCCAGTGTATTTTTTTAATCCATTAGGCAAAAAAAAAAAATAGAGGTAGTAGGATGAAAACGTTTATTTCAAAGTAAAAGCATAATATTTGTTTGTAATTGTTTTATTTAAAGCACATTTATACTTTAGGAGAAATAAAAGATTAATTAATAAATTAATTAATAAAAAATAGAAGATAGGAGAAATAAAAAATTAAAAATATATACCTGCATTGGCGGAGGGAAGCCTCTTTACCTGAGGGTTCCATATGTCAATTAAATCACAGGTCCAGTCCTAGGCCTTACTGATGTGTATGTGTATATGTATGTAAACATACATGTATACACACATACATATAAACATGGGGTGAGAAGAAAAGAAAGACAGAAAGCGTGTGAGTTACTCTCAGAGTTGACTTATGCTATTTCTCCCTAAGAATACCCTACTAAATTATTGTATGTCCATGAATCAGCATGCCAGTACATGTCATATAGACATTTGCTTTATTTGGCATTGTTTAACTTGCTATCTACAATTCCTAGTTTGCAGTAAGACTTACCTATGCCCTTCTAATTAGAAACTCTGCAATATACCCTATCAACTCTGAGGAATATTTTTCTAGGCACCCAACTTTGTCTTTCATTGCCCACAGAGTAGGGTCAAAGGATTTTTACAACTTCTAGAGTACTCTAATTTTCTTGCTTCATTGAAATGAAAATAACAAAAAAATCCTAGTGGTCTGACTACAAACAAGGCTATCATGGCCTGCAAAAGAAATGAGAGAATTAATTTTATTTGGCATATACTTTAATGAACATAGTTATTCTTAAACATATTTTTTTCCTTAGCTATCTCAAAATAAGAATAGAGTTCATTTTCTTTTACTTAAGTGTTTTAGTTTCTTTTTCATTTCGAAAATAAGATTTTCCTGTTAGGTTTCTTTTCGCGGTTTTGGCTCCAGATGTTTCATAATCTGTTTTTTTTTCCCCTCCTATTCCTCCTCCCCCTTTTCCTCCTCTTCCTCTTTTTCTTCTTCCTCCTCCTCTTCTTCCTATCCAATATGTAGTTTTTCCATAAAATTTGCAGTCATAAGCTCAACAGAGCATTCTCAGAAGATTTCTAGGATTTCTGGGAGCAATATAGTACTTCTTTTCAGGTCCCATTTTTCTTTTAATTTTTAATTTTTCAGATGAGTTATTTCCACCAAGGTTTTGTGGAGTAGCCTCAGAGCCAAGATGATCTGGGTCCATTGCTGCCTCTAATATATACTAGCTGTGTGCCTTATGCCCTGAGCAGTTCTCTAAGCCTCTCAGTTACAGAGAAGGTACTGATTTGCATTGGGAGAGGGAAGTTTCCTCATATGGGAATTCCTGCCATCTGTGAAATCAAGTCTAGCATATATATGTTTTTAATTACTGCTTCTTCTTTCAAAATTATTCATATTATATGGGGATTTTTATATATCTTTATTAAAGAATTCACTGGGTACTGGTGAAGGCCCAACAGAAATTAGCAAGAATTTCTTGAGGACTGAATCAGCACACGTAGTTCTTTATCTCCAGTGGTATTCTTCAGTCAGGGGACAGGAATGAGTAAAGCAGTTGTAATTTGGGGCTGTGATCTGGGTCTTTGGAATTAGCACAATGAAAAAAGTCAAGAGTGTTAATGAGGACTGTGTTTATTTGGTTGATTATGGATTTCAGGCTGGGAATAGAACCAAAGGTAGCCAATGTAGGCTAATACTGAGGCATCCCTGGTTAGAGTGAAAAAGGAGGAAAGTTCTGAGGATGAATTCACTTAAAATCTTTGATAGAACATTCCTTTAGTATTTTGACTGGTCTATAATTTCATCAGTATGAGTATTCCCTTTACCCATGCAGATTGCAATCCCCTCCAGACCTCAGCAAGTGGGCTTCATAAGTTACTATACACAAAACCAAAATTCATTGCTTAATAACCAACCCTCTGGTAATGAAGCTCTGGACTTAGGCAAGTCATTCTTGAGATGACATATTCCCCCATGAGAACAGGAGCTGTTTGAGGCAAGGGACTGAGCTTTTTTTTCCCCTTTCTTTATATTCTGAACACTTAGAATAGTGCCTGGCACTAGAAAATGCTCCATACTTAGAACCTTTTCAGCTTGATAGAGTCTTCCATTGCTTGTGCCTTCCTGACTTCTTCTCTACACCATGATTAATCATCAGAGTAGGACTTTAATGGAGAAATCAAATATTGTATCACTACTTTTGAGAATTTGATGAAAATATTTGGAAAAAAACCCCAAATTTTCTTTATAGAGCAATTTTTAAAAAAGTTTTGTATCTGATATTCTAGATTATTTAACATATAATCACTTCCCTTTAACAGTAGGTTTGCTATTTGAGCATTAATTAGATTTTCTCCTACTTGAACTATATAATACAGTTCCTTTCCATTTTTTTCTTTTAAGTCATTTTTAGGTTAATATCATCTACAGAAGGGTCTGTAGGCTGGGATGTTCTTGAAGTTAAACGCATCCTTGATCATCAGGATAATATTCTGTCATTAGTTAACATTAATGGTAAGTTCATTATGTATAGTCCATAGAAGAAATATATATATATATATATATGTATGTATGTATGTATGTATGTATATACACATGTATATGTTATGACTCATTTTTATATTCATTCAAGTTCTAGAATTCTAATTATTACAGTAATGCTTTTAATGACAATAGAGGGGAGCCACACCTTCTTTCAGGCCTGAGGGCTTTTCGTGGTACTGGACAGTGTGCTGAACTGCTACTTACAGGCTTAAGACATGGGCAGTAGAGTAGGTGAGCAGTGAGAGGGAGAAGGAAGAGGAAAGAAAAATTGTCTCTGATGTCATTCAGCATCCATACTTTACCACTGGTTCTATAGTTTGGCTGATTTTCAATCAGGATTTATTGCCAATTATGAAAGTTTTAAGAAAAAATAGTGCTCTAAGTTTAAATACACCTCAAATCAGTGACTGTGGTTTTCTGGAGAATACCATCAGCAAGGCATCAAATTTCAGGTCAGTGTTAAGGTCTATTAAGCATTGGTCATCTCCAGGTTTCTTTATGGCTTGGGAGATATGGACCTGCCTTAGACATGTATCAGACTTCTTGAACAGTCTTATTATCCCCTGAGAGCTCTCCTTAACATTAACTGGCAACCTCCAGGTTCTGGGATGTAGTTCATCTACTCTCTGGGCAGGCCACGTCCAGGAATATTGTGTGCAAGTCTGAAAGGAGACTATCATATGAGCACTGGAAGTTTACTTGTGTGTGATGTAGCATAGAAGTAGGTAGAACAACAGTAGCCATCAAAACAGCCTGGCCTGCAGCAATAACAAATGGTTTGGACCTTTTTAAACAGAAGTTTTTATGCAATCCCTGAGATAAGGAGAAAAATAACCATGAATAACTGTAGCTGCAAATTCAAGTGCAGGGTGTCCCAAAAGTCTTAGTTCAGTTTGCCCTAAAACTCTTGGCAAGACACCATATAGTTTTGGTCTGTGTGTGGTATTGAAAATACTAATGGTCGTAATTTGTCTTTTCAGCTGCATTTTCATAACAACAGTATTCTTCCCAGCTCAGGGTTACCTAACCTCAGTCCTTGCAGAATTTCAAACCCAAGCCTACCAGGGGCTAAATTGCTCATGGGGATCTAATCCGTGGCAACTGTTGGAAATTTCCCTTCGTTTCCTGCTGGAGCAAACCTGTTTTTGTCCTAGGAATCTCTCCTTTGGTTTCTTGCATGGATGATAACAATGCCTTGCAGGTTCCTTAGGAGACCCTGTTCCCCTGAGCCTCCTGAGTGGCTGGATCCTAAGTCCCTGGTCCCGGGATGACGGAAGCACCACAATGTTCTGGTTCATTCCACTGGTCATGCAGAGTTGTCTTTTTTTTAAACCTCTGAAGCCCTGCTATTGCTGAACCAGCCCTGTTACCTAAATCAAGTTAATGAGATGTTACTGATATAGGCTGCTCAGTTCCATGGTCCCCTTTGGATGTATGATGTGCAGAGAAGCCTTTAACAGCATAATTAAGAAAGCATTCTTCATGTGGTTCCCTGCCACATTCTTTATTTGAGGGAGAAAAAAAGGAAACCAAAAGTCTTTTTGAAAAAATAATCATAACTGAATTGCAGGAAATGCTGTATCCTTTTATTTGGTAGTCTCATGTTTAGATGGTCACACTACATATGAAAAAGGAGGCAGCTGACCAGGTCCCTTGTTAGAAAGATAACCATGAATGAGCAAATAGTCATAGCTTTCAAATTTGAAAACCATTTGCTGAGGGCATTAACTCTTTGTCCAAGGTCAGCTAGGAATTGTTTTTTAGTGAGATATTACATTAAAGATCTGTAACCTTGACATCTATATCTTGTGGGGTTCAGCTCCTTGCCCTCATCCCTCTTTCTAGGGCTCCCCAGCACCAAGGGAGGTGGTACTGATTGGTGACCTGGTTTGGTTAAGTGCCTCCTAGGACCTAGAGCATCTGAGGAAGAGACAAAAAGTCAGGCAAAACCACCTCTAAGAAAGTTGCTAGAATTGCTTGGTTATAGTGAATATCTTAATAGCTACAGGATGGATAGCCATGTGTGCTTTGTAAATCTTATTCAATTTAACAAGCATTTATTAAGCACCTACTGTGTGCAGGGCACTAAAATATAATGCCATTGTGACTGAAAATATGAGAGTGCACATTGCAGACCTTTCCTTTGTAGAAGTTACAGGCTAATAGTAGTAGTCTTCTGTTAAGGGAAGCTGGCTGCTGCTTCAGAGATTTCTGCCTTTTTTGCCTTGCTGACAGTATGTTGTCTGAGTGATACAGTGGTTACACTCTCCTTTCCAAGCTTTGTGATAGTTAAAATCTGAAATAACTGAGGAAACAAAGGTTCAAGCTTCCAAGCATATTGATTTATTAGGCAATGCATGCTACAGGCCTCCTCAGCTTGGTACTGGACCCTGAATACAGGGGGAGACAGATTTTTTTTTTAAGGCAATTGAGGTTAAGTGACTTGCCCAGGGTGACACAGCTAGTAAGTGTCAAGTGTTTGGTCTGAGGCAGGATTTGAACTCAGGTCCTTCTGACTTCAGGGCTGGTGCCCTAGCTGCCCCATGGGAGACAGATTTTTATGCAATAAAAAAAAATTAATTGGATATAAACTGGGATACAAGATTAGGTAATCTGATTTCTAATTGGAGGAAAGATGATGGATTTTCAAGTTGGGATGGGGGAAAGCAAGCAGGTGGACTTTTTTGGATGAGAAACAGGAGGTCACTCAAAATTTGCAGGAAACTGAAACTTAGGTCTCAAAATGGAGTCAGTTTTACAAGATGGAGTCAGTTTGGTTCACACAATTCCCACAATTCTCTCAGACTTTGTTCCCCTTCACACACTCTGTGGTCCAGCCAAAATGGCCACCTTGTTGTACCTCACACAGGACATTCCACTTCCTGTCTTTGTACCTGTGCACAGGCTTAGAGTGCCTACCATGTGCTGCTTTTCTTAGAATGCCTTGTTTCCTTCGAAGCTCAGCTCAAGTGGCACCTCCTTCATGAAGCCTTTCCTGATGCTCCCAGCTGCTAGCGCCTTCTCCCCTTGAAATCATTCTAAATGTGTTTTGTGCATACTTGTATATGTACATGGATTTTCTCCAGTAGCCTGTGTGCTCCTTGAAGGAAGGAACTCCTTCATATCGGTCCACTTCATTTATTTATTTATTTATTATTTTATTTATTTATTTATTGGTCCATATTACCACTTGCTGATTTATCAGTATAGTTTTGTACTTGTGAGGTTAGGTTCCACATTCACTCCATGACTTTTGACACTGTTACAGTGGTGGTTGTTTTAAAATTGTTAAATGTCCAGTTTAGGAATATAAGTCATACGCATAATGATAATAACAGTAGGATCCCAGCTTTCCTTGTCAATGAGAAATTCCACCTGGATGTTTAGTTCCTTGTGTTTGTTGTACAGACATAGAACATGCCATAAATCATATTGACCTACCATGACTCCAGAGGACCAATGATGAATCATGCTGTGCCCATCTCCTGACTAAGAGGGGATGGACTCAAGATGCAGAATATGATATATATTTTTGGACATGGCCATTTTGTGTGTGTGTGTAAATTTGTTTTGCTTGACTATGCGTATTGGTTATGAGAGTTTCTTTGCTTTTTTTCAGTAGAAGGGGGAGGTGGAAAGGAGAAAAAATATATGCTTGTTCATTGAAAAAATTTTAATAAAAAAAGAAGAAAAGCACGGCATCATAATACTCAGAGGCCTAAGCCTGCACTATGGGTTTGGCTTCTGGTAATGGGTTTTTGAAGTTAATAAAAGGATATGCTCCTCATATCCTTTTAAGGATATCCTCATATCCTTAATAAAAGGATATGCTTCTCCACCCATCTCTTAATGTGAAGAGAGAATTGGGTTAGGGAAAAAAGGGCAGGAAGTGAAGGCTGGAGAAGGTACCATGCAGCCATAACTTCTGTCCACTGGAACATGAGGCTCTGCTCTTTGTTCAGAAAAAAATGAACTTCATTTTTTCACAGGGTACATCCTGTGTTTTCTTCTCTTTGGCTGCAAAAGTAGCCAAGAAAGCAGCCTGGCTGTTAATGCATGATGGTGCATTTGGGAGCAAAGCAAAAGAAAGTTTACATGTGCGACAGCTGGAACTTCCATATTTCTGAAAACAGCATTTCTCGTTATTGAAATTTTCTGTTTTGTTAAGTAGAATTGTCAAATTACCATAGAATGTGAACTCTTTGAAGGCTCAGATCATGGTCTTCTATGTTCTTGTTTTTGTTTTGCATTCCCAGCCCTTAATACAGGGCCTATTGGACATGATAAGCATTTATTGAGTGCTTGTTGACTGACTAATGAATCATAGTCCTTTGTGTATTCAAAAGATGCTAAGTACCTGGTTGTGTTGATGTTATTATTAATTTGAAATGATGCAAGGGGTACAGGGAATAATGATGATGGTAACAATAATGCCTTAATTTTGTACAACTCCTCATAGTTCATAGGATCAAACATTGAGACCTAGAAGAGGACTTCAGAGGTCATGTATTCCAACCTCCTCATTTTACAGATGAGGAAATTCAAGCCAAGAAAATTTAAGTGATTTAACCAAGGTCACACTGGAAGTAAGAATCAAAGGTGGGATATGAACATAGGTTCTCTTACTCTGAATTTGGGGCTCAGGAGTTTGTCTAAGAAAGAGAAGAGAAATAGAGGATGATAGCCAGAGAGCATTGTAAGATCTAGTGAAGGTTTGTTTTAAGGATAGGGGAGACTTGGGCGTGTTTGAAGGCATAATTGATAGGGAGAGGCTGAAGATCAGAGAAGAGGTGGTGGTTGAGGGAGCAGTCTTCTTGGACCTAAACAGGTAAGGATTGAGTTTCCCATAAGATAATATTTTTGTCATACTGGATAACCAATTTTCTGTGTTTAATTTGGAAAGTGTTTTAGCTGATTTCATATCTTTTTAGAAGACACTTACCTTGATTGGTGGTAGCTAACAAGGCATGTCTAAATTCTGCCTAGATTTGAACTTTGTCACCGGCTCCCACATCGGGGAGCTGATTGTCTGGGATGCCTTGGATTGGACAGTGCAGGCCTATGAACGCAACTTCTGGGACCCATCTGTACAGCTGGATAAACAGCAAGAAATCAAGCTCTGTCAAAAACCAAATGAAATTTCCATTCATCATTTCACATGTGATGAGGAGGTAAAAACCTGCAAAGCAGGCCATAGATCATAGATTGAATCCATCTGATTCAATACCCTGTCTTAGGTCCTTTTATCCTCATCTTCTGCATGAGGCACCTGAAGCCCGGGGAGTTCTGTGACTTGTCCAGCGTCATATAGCCAGGGGAGGATAGAACTTAGGCCTCAGCTTCCTAGTGTAGTATCTTTTTCACTAAATATAAGCCTACTTCTTATGTTAGCAAAGATCTTGGGTTTACATTTTCATTTTAATCTTATGTTAGGCATTATCCAAAAATTCCCTTACTGAATATCAGCTTGTGTCTTAAAACTTCATGATTCTTTTGGGAGATAACAGCTCTGGCATGAAGTTAACTTTAAATACCTATTATAATAGCATATTTATTTTTGATTCCTTATTCCCTGGCAAGAAAATTGTTAAATGGCTCTAAATTTCATTTTAAAATATTATTTAAAATTTTGATTCTATTACATTATTTCATTAAGATTTGAGGTTACTATTTAGCATTCACTCAAAGAATATTTTAGCCAGCATTTGTATGAATAGTAATAGATTCCCCCGTAAAACATAATGAAGTTGGAAACCTGAGCAGCATCTCTCCCTCCATCAGCTCAGCTCTAAGGCTGGGTGACTGATGGGAACTGCTCTGTTTGGCCCTGGAATCGAATATTCCCATGGTCTTAGGGCAAGTCAGAACTGAGCTCTGGCAAGTCACTAAATCCTGGCTGGGGTCTAAATGTTACATCTTCTATCTCCAGAGATAAGAAAAATTATTTTGAGGAGACGAGACTCTTGAGAGACCATATTACAAAGAGATGACTAGTAGGATTTCTGTTTTTATTTTCTTTGTATTTTTTCCTCACTTTTCTAAACAAGTGCTTTGTCTTGAGTTACATATTATCTTTTAATTTAAGTTTACCTCTAAGTTACCACAACAGAAATTTCCTAGGTGCTTGCCCTGGCTTAATTAATTTTATTTCATTCTAGAGCTATTTTTCTGTGCTTTATTTTCTTTTTATCTTTTAGGGAAATTTTTGCATAATGAAGAGTGGTAGATAGTAGGCTAAATGCAAGCCTGGAGCCTCTCTGAAGGCATTGCTGATTTTCCATGCCATCTTGTACAGATAACTTAAGAGAACCCAAGCCCCAAGTTTGTAGACTATCAGGGGTATTCATGAGGCATCTGGAAGTTTTGCCAACCACAGTTTGGCCAAGTGCTTTCAACTTTATTAATAATCATATTTAGTCAGTTTGGCTCCATAGCCCATATGTATGAATGCTGAGGTGCTTGTATTAACGGACCCCTGGCTTTGGCTTTCAGAGGGGGGAGAATGGGTAGAGATTGAGGTACTTGATGCAGAAGACCTTGGTGAGTTTGACATGCTGTGACCTAGTTAGTCACAGTACTGTTTGTTCATTTCTTAGATATGGACTTAAGATTCCCTAAAACAGGATGAACTCAGGCAGTAAGTGTGGGGCAGACTGTAGGGATGGCTTCTGTAAAGGTGTCTTCTTGGGGATTCTCTTTTGTCAAGATACTATTAAGAAAAATGCATATTTTAATTTTTAAAAATTCTAAACTGAATAAAAATAGCATTTCCAGATGCACAGCGAACACAAAAAGAGTACTCTATATGAAACCATGAATGTCCATTTAATACTTTTGCTTTTTTTTTAGTTTACAAAAGGCAGGTTTAATAAGATTATTAACATCTATTTTGTAAATTCTTTCCAAGGACTAGTATTTTAATACATATGTATATAATGGCCAAAGTAAGCATTTCTCATTTACATAAATGAAATTACTTTTAATTTCTTAAGCAAGTCACTTTAAGCTTTCTAGCCCTCTTTCTGACTTTTTGTGCACTTCTGGAGTAGAAGAAGTCATTTACCATAGTTTCTAATTGTATTTCTTGATCATTATTCAGTCTAGTGCAAATTGCAGGCTTTTGCTAGAGTAGATATGTGGGAGATGGGCAACCTGCTTCCCATTCAGTCAGCCATCTTGGCCGGAAGTCAAGACAGATATTTTTAAAAGCTTAATAAAGTTAAGAATAACTTTTAAAGAAAGGGCCAAATGAAGTTAGCGAGGAGTGCCAGGCTTGAAATATCTTACCTGGGTTTTAGTTTTGCAATTAATTAAGTGCCTGACTCAGATTTTTCTCAAACTTAGTTTCTTTATCTGAAAAAATGAGCATAATAATGCATGTTTTTCCTGCTTCACAGAGATATTAAATGTGAGAGGACTGTCTGTGAGAAGACTCTAAGAAGCGCATAGTAGGAAAAATGCCAGTGTAAGAGTAGTACCTCCAAAAGGAACTTTGGATTGTATTGTAAAATGAGAACTTGAGGTCCTTAATTATTTATAGATTCCATTAATTTCATAAATTACTAGGCGCAAACTTTAGCGGTCCCATTGTCTGGGAAAGAAGTTAAGCAGCTTCTTCTCCAAAAGTAAAGCAGCTTCTCCAGTTATCGTGTCAGATAGATGAAAAACACTAACAACAGTAATAATGACTGCTGCTATTTCTATAGCATTTTAGGGTTTCTGAGCAATTTAAATACATTATCTCATTTTAATCAATAAACATTTATGAAGAGCCTACTTTGTGCCAGGTACTGTGGCATATTGGGGATACAAAAAGAGCCTTCAAAGAGCTTACAGTCTGATGTTTGCGAACAAATATATACAAAGCAGACTGGCTACATAGAGGAAAAATAGAAATCGTTAACACAGGGAAGGCACTAGAAATTAAGAGGGGTTGGAAAAGGCTTCCAGTAAAAGATGAGATTTTAGTTGGGACTTAAAGGAAGCCAGGGAGGTCAATAGGTGAAGTTGAGGAGGTAGAGCTTTCCATGCATGGGGGACAGGTATCATCCAACATCCCTGGGAGAGTTTTACAAATGAGCAAACTCACCTGAGGTAAAAGTACTGAATTCTCATTCTGGTTCTACCGCCATCTGTGGGTATATGCTAAGGCTGTGTCCTGGGTCCTCATCTTCTCCCCATCCTGAAATTACTTTGTGTTTTACTTTATGTATACCTATATATATGTGTATTTACTTTATGTACACTTGTGTGTTTACAATTGTGTTTTCCCAGATAGAATATCTTGAGGGCTGGGGCTATTTCATTTTTATCTTTGAATTCATCAGTAGGAACTTAATAATTGTTTGCAAGTACTCCAGGTGGGATTTGAACTCTGGTATTCCAGCACTCTATTGATACTACCTCTGCTTGTAATTTATAATGAAGCATACCAAACACCAGTCCCTGCTGCTCTCTCTAATGATAATGTTTTGATAATAAACATGGTAGGGATTGCGATTAGTGTGACATCCCAGAGTTCTCTTTATACTGGCTTCTCCATTCTCCTCTTAGCAATGTTTCGAGCTTTCCTTAGTATTCTGATGGCACTGCCCTCTGAAGTCCAGAGTAACATGGGTTGAAAGGCCAAAGATAGGGAAGGGAGACAGCTCTTCTTCCAAATACTTGTTTTATGTCTATTTCTGAAACCTGTGTTTCTTGCGCTTTTTTTTTGTGCCCAGTATTTGTTTGCTGCTGTTGGAAGGGGCTTATACGTGTATAACCTTCAAATGAAGCGTGTGATTGCCTTCCAGAAAACTGCACATGACTCCACTGTCCTTCACATTGCCAAACTTCCAAACAGGTATGACATATGAAAGAGACGCAGGATGCCAGGGGCCCCAACCTGATTTTTTGGGTAGCAAATTTCCCTGTTTCCAGGCTTGACAGATTATGTTCTTTTGGCAATGAAGACTGCCACATCATTCCCTCTTACAGGACCTTTTGAATGATATAATTAAAGATACCAGGAGCTTGGTTGAAAATGATTATATAGTCTATTGTATCTCCTAATTTCAGAGAGTGAGAAGTCACTAAGGTCTTGTATATTTAAAACAAGGTTTTTAGGAGAAGCATCCAAAATGTATTTGCCATACCTCTTGTCCATAATAAAGCCATGCTTTTGTTTTAGCTTCTGCATGGGAACAAAGTAGAAGCTTGTGGATCTTAGGTTTACTAGTGAGGATTTAACTCCGAGGTTGTTTTCTTCTGACTTTCCAGTTTATAGAAGTGCTGTTATTTTCTGTACAGGTAGAGTTTTGGGGGAAAGTGGGTGTGAGGGAGAGAGGAGATAAAGGAAAGGAAGGCCGAGTGTAAAGGTATGACTAAGAAGACCCTTCTCCTGACATTTTTAAAGTGAAGATTACAGATTTATGTGAACACCTCATTGGCTGTGCTCTGTCTACAGAGATAATGTTGCAACACTTAAAATGTTAATTAGTATGATAATTATTTCTCATTGGAAAGATGTGGCAAGTGATATTTTTAAAGTATCCACTCAGAAGTGAATAGGAGCATCCCCCGAGACATGCCTGGACCTTTCTTTGTAAATGCTCTCTGCCGGGCATTGAATTGCCCCAGTGGTGCTCTGCCTATATCATGGTGTCTTTGTTCTGACAGGCAGTTAATCTCTTGTTCAGAAGATGGCAGTGTTCGCATTTGGGAGTTACGGGAGAAGCAGCAGCTGACGGCAGAACCTGTGCCCACAGGTCTGTGCTTCCCTAAAGAGGAAGTTTCTTACCATTCCTTTTTAAAATATGAAACAGAAGAATGAAAGAGTTCATTAGGAACCATATGAGCCTCTAATAAATAAAAGTAAACTGTACCCAAAATGTATTTTAAAAGAAGAAATATATTGGTTGCAATTGAAGCTGTTACCTCCAAAAGTAGTAGTTGCAAAATCTTTTGATTTCCTTCTTACTGTTTCTTTTTATGGTAACCGCTCCATTACGTTTATCCTACTGCAGGTCAACCAGAATTGCACTGTATTGTGAGAGAAAACTGTTACTTTTTGACAGTCAGGGCCAATAATGAGTACTCATTTTCGTACCTGTAATTCTAATTGGTACATGCAGAGAATTTGTATTTGGATACCAAATCCAAGATATTCCCTAACTGCTCCTCCTCCCTCCCATTTATGAAACCTATGGCTATTAATTAGTACTCATTTAATTTGTACTTAATGAAAGCCCAAATGCTACTAGCCAATAGGCTTTCCAGCAGGCCCTCGCATTTTCAACATGAAAACAAAAGGCCTGGGAGGATTTGAACAGTTCAGTTGCTGCTTGGCCAGTTTCTGGCCAAGGAATCAGGAGGTGGTGTCTGTGCAGTTTGTGTGGGCACTTACTCTACAGATCCAAATACAGCCTGTGCTTTTCCTCAGTTTGGTTTATGTACAATATGAATGTGGCCCATATTCAAATTAGTTTATCCCTTATATATCTATATGTTTGTTTGTTTTTACTCTCAAGGATATCTCCCTTTATCGGAGAGGCCTATGTTGGCAAATAGCCTGCACTTGGACTTACCTGATATTTAGCAACCCCTTTGTTGCTAATCCTAGGTTTCTTGAAAATAAATGTCTGGGTTGGGCTTAGTGTGCCTGGAGGCCCTTCCTGTCTCTGCCTGTCTTCCCTTTTTTAAATCTGTCTATAATTGGTATGCTGCAAACTTTTGGTTATTTGGAGCTTGATTATCCAATCTGTGGATTGTCCTCGGGCCTTTTCTTTTTTTCTTCTTTTCCTCCTCTATTCCACTGCCACCAGGGGGCGTGCTGGGGCAGCAAACGGGATGAAGCTGACAGGTTTAGAAACAATGAACATTGTTGTGGTTATATTTTCTCTTATTCCCATCTCATGGTACTACAAATGTGTGTCTGTATTGCCAGTCACATAAAAAGATTGTGCTGACAGACTGTAATTATTTTGTGTCTTTCTAGGATTTTTCAACATGTGGGGATTCGGAAGGGTGAACAAACCAGCCAACCAAACCATTAAAAAACCACAAGAAAATGGCACTGTGTGTTCCTTGGAGCTTATTGGTGATTTAATTGGACACTCATCTTCTGTAGAGGTGTGTTTGTTATTGGTAAGAAAGGAAAGGAGAAATAGACCAAGTGGTACTACAGAAAGGGTGCTACCTTGGGAATCCAAGATTGGGATTTCAGTCCCAGGCCTGATGCGTATGTGTGACCTGGGTTCCAGTTTTTTGGGGAGGTTGAGCCCACTGTTAGCATGGGCCCTAGTTTTCTCATCTGTAAAATGAGAAAAATAGATTAAATGACTAAAGTCCATTCTTGCTCCAAATCTTTGATCTTATGGCCTATTATACCATTTTCGCTTGTCTCTGTTCTCCATTTTTATATTGCCCAATAAAGACCAGTTTCATCTTCCCCAACCTTTATCTACTTAAAGGCTTTGAATGACATCTGAAGTACTAAGACAGTAGTATAAGCACAGTAAGAATTTGGCCTTCAAGTAATCCAGTTTAAAAGGCAGACTTTAAGAATTCACTGTATCTAAATGGGATACCTTCTCATGCAGCTTTTGCCCTTCTTTGTATCCCTAAAGCTTAGCATAATACATGGTACATAGGAGGTGCTTAATAAATGCTTTTTGACTGACCCACTCACTGAATGAAGGCCATTATTAATTGTATCAGATCATAAGACAAAACTAATGAGGTTTATGGGGAGTTGGGAAAGGGATCTAGAACCCTAGGTTAAGGGCAACTGAGACCGCAATACTAGTGTTTGGAACAAAGGAACTTTAAGACTTCTGATGTTCTTCAATCTTCAGTCACTTTGGCGTTCCTAGAATGAATAGGAAATATAAGATCATATGTAAGTCTGAGGTTTTATGTCTTAGACTTAAAACCTTAAGAGATCATAAACCTGGACAGCTGAGAATTCCTGAATGAGCTCTGTTTTATAGCTCTTTGGAGAATGATCATAGAGTATTAGAGATAGAAGGGACCTTAGACATTCAAGTCTGATGCCTTCATATTTACAAATGAGGAAACTGGCCCCGAGAGGTTTACAGCTGGATTAGGCTGCAAGCAAAGAACTAGGATTCAAACCCATCGCTTCTGACTCTAAATCCATTGCTTTTTCCACTCACTATAACTTTAACCTTAAGTAGTACCTTTTATCTTGGTTGTGATTATTTACATTTATGAAAATAGTGACAGATATAATAGCCACAAAATTCTCATTTTAGGGAATTCAAATATAAAATGATTTACTATTTAAATGTATTTATGTGATCTCACTGAAGTGTGTACCCACTCCAGTGATACTGCTCAGACCCGTGCCTTCTAATCCTGTGTGATCCTTGTCCGTGTGTGTTCCATGTCCTTCCCCCTTACAAATTGTCCTCCAAAAAAGATCAATTCAGTGTGCTAGAGACCTTCTTCTGGGTCTTTTAACGTTATGTGGGTGCCCCGCAATAGAGTATAGACTCAAGAGCAGGTATTGTTTCATTTTTGCCTTTTGATCTCATGCACCTGGCATGGTTCCAGCAGCATAGTAAGCACTAAATAAACGCTTGTTGACTGACTGATAGCAGTTCCACACTTGGGCTGTCCGTCCATTTATTGTCCCTTGTTTTTCTGATCGTGTACTTCTGATGAGCCAATCTTTCACACTACTTTTTGAATTCCTATCATAAGTCAACTTATGCATACCATGAATTTTCCCCTTTGCCTTTTTGGGTTCTGACCTAGGCCCTCTTACCTCCCCCCCTAATTTATTTTACTTGGTGTTCTCATCAGCTCGCATGGATTCAGTTATCATCTCTATCCTGATGATTCACAAATCTGCTTCTCCAGCTTTCTAACGTCTCTGCTGATCTCCAGTCTCTCATCTGCAGATGCCTAGACATCTTGAACTGGATGTCCTATAGACATCTTAAACTCAGCATATCCAGATAGGAATTCGTTATTTGACTCTCAGAACCCCTTCCCTTCCCAACTTCCCTGTTACTGTTGAGGGCACTATCATCTTTCCAGTTACCCTGTATATCAACCTAGGTGTCGTCCCCAGCTCCTCAACATCTCTCACCATCTATATCCAATCGATTGCCAAGGCCTGTTGATTGCACCATTGTAACATCTCTCAAATATGCTTCTTCTCTCTTCTGATAATGCTGCCTCCCTGGGGCAGGTCCACATCTGCTCTGTCCTGGACTATTGCAGTAGCCTGCCTTAAGTCTCTCTCCACTCTCATCCCTCCTCCCCTGAGCTGCCAAAGTAATTTTTCTAAAGCACAGGTCTGATCATGTCACCCCTTCCCCCCCCCACCAGTAAACTTTAGAGGCTCCTTATCACCTCCAGGATCAAATACAAAATCCTCTGTTTGGCATTCAAAGGCTAGCTCTTCTTCTCTAAGCCACCACTTCCCCCCCTCCCTCACACAGACATCTTTCCAGTCATCTTATACCGTATACTCTACCATAGTGATGCTGACTCCTGGCTGTTCCTCAGTCTATCTCCCAACTCTGGGCATTTTCATTGTCTGTTCTCCATACCTAGAATACTGTCCCTCCTCATCTCTGCTTGCTGGCTTCCCTGGCTTTCTTCATATTCTAGCTAAATCCTATCTTTTTCAAGAAGCCTTTCCTAATCTCTATTTGAGTGCCTTCCTTTGGTGAATTATTTCCTATTTATCCTGATTGAACATAGAGTTTACATGTTGTTTCCCCCATTAGATTGTGAGCTTCTTGAGGGTGGGGACTCTTTTGCCTTTCTTTGCATCCCTAGCACTTAGCACAGTGCCTGGCACATAGTAGGCACTTAAGAAATGCCTATTAACAGACTGACTACTTTAGGACATCCTCAGTTTTGCTTCTTTCATGATTTCCATGATTTACAACCATATAGCATTTCTGGAAGAACACTGTTGTTAAAAGTTGGATTTTTGTTTCAGGGAGCAGCTTGGGGTCTTTGAAAGTGTTGTGGACAGTTCCTAAATGCATTTCAGCCTGCTTTTTTTTTTCTTCCTTCAGTTCTATGTCTGGCTTATTGTCCATATGAAATGCCTGTCCAAGAAATATATACTGATAGACCAAATGATATTATTCATTGTGTTGGTGTCACAATATCTTAGTTCAAACAAAAGATTCATGAACATTGACAAAAGGTGTGTTAGCACAGCATTAATTATTGGGTTTGATCATTTTCTCCCTTTGTCAGAGATGGCAAGAAACAACTCACATCCCAAAAGTGTATTAACTTTCATGATACTAGTTAATCTATCATCATTATCAGCAAACACTTGACAGAACATCTCCTATGTGTAAGACACCATACTATATGCTAGGGATACAAAGAAGCATAAAATGTGACCTTTACACTAAGGACCTCACAGTCTAGGTGAGGAGACAGGGCATTACATAAAAAAAAAATAATGATGTAAGATACATATGCTAAGTGTCAAATGAGCAGCATAGACTAAAATACTACATGACTTTAGAAGAAGGAGAAGGTGATTGTGAATGGGGGTGACCTGCAAGAGATGGGACTTACATATAGAGTAATATAAAATATAGGATGTGAGAGCTAGAGGACACTTTAGAGATCTAGTCTAATGCTATCATTGGAGTAGGATTAGGTGGCATACCCTGGAGTCAGGAAGACCTGAATTTAAATCTGGCCTTACTGGCTGTGTGATCCTGGGCAAGTCATTAAGCTTATTTGCCTCAGTTTCCTCATCTATAAAATGAGCTGGAGAAGGAAATGGCAAACCACTCCAGTATCTTTGCCAAGAAAACCCCAAATGGGGTCACTGACCCAACAACAAAAAATCCTGTCATTTACAGATGGGGGGACCTGATGCCTAGAGGGTATAGTCATTTGCCAGAAGTCACACAGCTTACTAAGTTGAGAAGATCAAGAGATGGTGGGGGCATCAGAGGACATATAGTCCTTTCCCCTCCTTTTACAGATGCAGAAACTGAGGTGGAATAACTTGCTTGAGCTCCATGCTGTTCCTTCTCTCTGCTCCTCTACGATCTTTTATCACAGCTTCAATAATCACCCGTATGCTAATGACTTTCAGATCTCTACTTCGTGCTTTCTGTCCTCTCAACTCTGTTCTCTTACTACCAGCTGCTTACTGGATGCTTCCATTTGCATGTTGTCTGAATGAATGAATGAGTGGGTGAGTAAACATTTATTAAGTGCTTACTGTGTGCCAATCACTGTGCTGTAGGCACTAAGGATACAAATACAAAAGCAAAGACAGTCCTGGACTCAAGGAGCTTACATTCTCATGAGGGAGACCACACACACCATGGCCTGGGTGGGGTGGGGGGGGTACTTTCTTTCTGGAAAGTTGCTGGGTTGGTGAATGGGCCCATAAGGGAATAGATTAACACACCCTATTCAGGGAAAATGGTTGATTGATTGGGTTCATGGTTCCAGAATGTGAGAGTCGAAGAGGAGATGGTCTGAGAGCAGGGAAGGAAGTGAAGTTTAGCTTGCTTGAATTAGTGGTCCAAGAGAAGAGGGGCCCAAAGGTGAAAGTTCTTCTAAGGCACAGTTCTGTCACCTCACATTCGGCATATCTCAAGCCAAATTTCTGTCTTTCTCTAAATCAGTTTACCCACCAACTTTCCTTATTTTTGTACCTCCATTATCCCACTTACTCAGATAAGAAACTTGGAAATCATCTTTGATTTGTCCTTTTTCTTCATCTACTATACTGCCCACTAGTAATCCTCTTATTCCTACTAAATATACTTGTCCTTTCTCCTTTTCCACTGGATTTGTCTGGCCCCTAATCAGCTGTAATAGTCTCCTGCTCTCCCTGGCAGTAGTTTCCTCTCCCCACTTTAACACAACACAGCAATGTACTTACTCATATTGTGCTCTTCTCTTGGAGGGCTCTTTCCCCTTCATCCACCTCTGGCTACATGGAAAATCCAAGTTATTCCTCCAGGAGGATTTCCTTGCCCATTACACCTCTCATTTATCTGCCTGTCCTGATAACCCTCCAGCATTCTGTGCCAGAGAATATTTAGCCCTCCACTTTATGATGCCTTGTATTTTGCATTGATTGTTTAATGTGTTAAGTAATGTTCACTCAGCCAGATTATAGCAGGTTTATTTGATTGATTATGTCTACACAGATATAAAGACTTTCAGAGTTGGTGGCTTTCTGAGAAGTTCTTAGGGCAGTATTGCTGCCAGAATAGTCGAATTGATGAGTAGGATTGTAGATGCCAATAGATGGAGAAGGAATTTATATCTAGTGTCTCTGACCTAAGCTACGGGATATGCATAGAAATGCTGTAGGAACAAGATGTGGGCAGTTAAGAAATTAAAGACCTGAGATTTGCTGATTAGTGGCTCCTTGATTTCTCTTTCCTTTGGTCCTTCAGGTTTTATGGTACTCATTGTCATCTGATCATTTTTCATTTTTATTGAAAAAATTAATTGTCTTATGCTGCTTTTTGGTAAAAATGAATACCTGAAGGTAGCTATGGGGATGTGAGAGCAACAGAGGGCAAAGGGAATGGTTTTAATTCGGGACAATACAGGATAGAACAGATTGGAGTGACCTGGATTCCCATTTAGAGCTGAAGCCATTCCAAGTTAACCCTGAGATTCAGGCTGCTCTTTCATATTGTAAAAAACGACTTCAGGACCCACCATGGATGTTTTGGAGGCTCTCTAGGCCACTGGGGATTAGCTACAATACCCGACTTATATTAGCTACCCTGGCTGGGCTGGGACCTAATGACCCCCTTCTCTAGAGATGTAAGCAGAGGAGTCCTTGTGTCCAGGTCTGCAGTCATTATGAACACTGGGGAATGGCAGCAGAAGCCAAAAAGTAGAAAGATAAGTTTTAAAAGCTCTAGAGGCTGAGAATGAAAATCCATCTATATGTAAAACATATGCACACATGTATACATATATGTATGTATACATAAATATGCACAGATGTTGTGATAACTTTAGCCACTGGTTTTGTCTACTGTATTTCTGTTTGGGGAATTTATGCTGGTCTAATTCACATTCACATGTTGATTATTGTCAAGAGTGTTCCCACGTTTTCTTTGAATGTTTAAACCTTTTTATTATCACTTCTTACCTGGACTTAGCGCAGTGCCACATAGCAAGGGATTAATAAATACTATGACCATGGCTATTGCAGTAATCTTCTAATTGGTGTCCTTGTCTCAAGTTTCTTCCCTCTCCAGTCCATGCTCCGCTCAGCTACCAAAAGTCATTTTCTTAAAGTCCAGGTCTGATCATATCACCTTCTTCTCCTGCCCCTGGTAACCTCCAGAATCCAGTAAAGAGCCCTCTATTTGACGTTTAAAGATTTTCAACACCTAGCCCCTTCTTCTCCTCTACTGACTCTTCAGTCCAGCCACACTGACCACCTTGCTGTTCCCTGTACACAACACTCCCATGTCTGTGCTTTTGTACTAGCTTTTCTCCACGCCTCCCTCTTCACCTCCAGGCCCTAGCTTCTGCTCCAATTCCCTTTTTTGTAGGCAGCCTTTCCAGGTCTCCTTCCCACTCCTCCCAATGCCTTCCCTTTGAGATTGCTTTTCCCCTTTTTACTGTACAGCTTTTGTATGTTCCTAATCGTTTATGTGTTGCCTCCCCCATTGCCTCCTTGACCATGTTTTTGCCTTTCCTTGTATCTCTAGCACTTAGCACCGTGTCTGGCACATAGAAAGCACCTAATAAATGCTTGTTGCCTAGCTGACTGCCTGGCACAGTCTTGAGGCCTGGAGCAGCAGGGGCCCAGTGAACGGTGTGTTGGGGCTGGGATCAGAGTCAACTCAGCCCTCCATTAACCGTATGGCCTTGGGCAAATCATTTAACTTCTCCAAGCTTTCCTTTTGCCCATTTTAAAAATGGGAATAAAAGTATCTGTAATTACCTATCAGAGAGGACTTCTGAGAGCACCCCAGAAAATAATGCATGTAAAGAGTGCTGTGTGAACATAAGGTATTATTATATACCTAGGCTTTGTGCTCTTCCCCCAAAGAGCTCAAAATGGTCACATCTAAATGATTTCATTTACAATAAGGTTTTTAAATTTGGAATTTATGATTACACAGGCAAGGGCTAGTCTCAAGGATGGTTAAGAGATATGGAATACAGCTCTTTCCAAAGAACTGAAAATGAAAATCACCCAGAAAGCAGTGGAGAGATGGAGGGCTTTCATGGTGGTTGTAAGCAAGATTAAAGTATAACAAATGAGGAATTTCAAAGAACAGGAATAAAAGATGCTCCCGGGGAAATGTGTGATAGAAAAAGAAGGTTGAAAGATGACAGGTAGACAGACTGAGGGCCACACTGTATCCTCATGCTGTTAGGAGAAAGTGAGGAAGTTCTTTGGCATGTTGAGTTGACCCTCCCCTATAGTGAACTCATTAGAATCTCTGGAGGGTCACACATGATGGGCAGGCAGGCAGGAATGGTTTGCAGTCTGTGTTTTTGGAGGAAACATCCAAATTAATGCAGTCATTGATCTACTGGAGTGAGTATTTCTTAATCAAATAATGTCACCAGACTTGTAGAGGTAGCTTTTATTCACTTAAGAGAACAGACTTTTTCAAGCAGTTTAGCAGCAGCCATTTGTACAAAAACAATGGGTTAATCACAAGTGATCCTTATCCTGTCATTAAAGCAAATCTAGTCAGACCTCTTTCTGTTTGGCAATACGTTTTTTTTTAACAACTTGTATAGAATTAGAATATGATCAAATACTAAAACCATAGAGAATACAACATAATCTCTCTTTTAAATCAGAATCTTGGCAGTAGCTGATGTTCATAATTATGAACATCAAATGTCACTGAAATGTAGATGTGTCAGAGTCCCAGTTAATAGAGAAGTTTAGTGAATAGAATTCTGGGTGATAGAGAGGAATGTGCATTTATCAACTTGTAAAAGTGAAAATAATGGTTAAAAATGAAACTGACTTCTATTTTCATACCCAAAGTGGTGGGTGGCCCTTGATGGAAATACATTCTTTTAAAAATATTTGTGATAAACAGAGTACTATCTTTCTACTTTTAACCTCTGTTCCTTGGGAAGCTCCATGAAGGCACGCAGCATGGATTTTCTAAACTTTGTTTTTCCCCCAGCACTTAGTACACAGTAGGTGCTTAATAAATGTATGTTGAATGGAATTTTCCTTACCTTGTATTATGTGCTATAATTGGTGATTTTCATTTTTGTTACAGATGTTCTTATACTTTGAAGACCATGGACTAGTGACATGCTCTGCTGATCACCTCATTATTTTGTGGAAAAATGGAGAACGAGAGTCAGGATTACGCAGTTTAAGATTATTTCAGAAATTAGAGGATGATGGTGATTTGAACCTTGGTTTCTAGTTTTGCTGAATAAGGCATTCATGTGCATGAACCCTGAATATCAAAGATAGGCTAAGAAGAATTTTAAGAGATATCTGGAAAATTTTAATATATTTATCTTTTACAAAATTTTAAAATGCTTTTTTTCCCCAACTGGTGCATAAAGTTCTGTTTTTGTTGTTGAATCATTGTATTCTCTGAACTTGTAAAGAGTGAATATATATATGTATATTCATATATGTATATATGAAGAGAGAGAAATGTGTGTGTGTGTGTGTGTGTGTGTGTGTGTGTGTGCACGCACGTGAGTCCCTGTGGTAGAAACCATTCCCCCTGAGAACTTTACCAGATGGTCCTCACGTAGCTTCTGAGGTGATCGCACTTGGAATTACTAAAGAGGCTTTTCTGAATTTAAAGAAACTGAAATCCTCAGCTGAATCTCGAAAACCTTACCTCTTTTAAAATTGTAGGATAACAAACCCACCCACAAGAGTCATATAAGGTTTAAATTTAACGAGTAATGGAATGAATTATGCTCTTCTGAAACTTTCTGTACAATTTATCCCTGCTGAAATTTCCTTTATTACTAGGATAGGAGATGAAAAGGAACTAACTAGCTCTTTTCTTTTTATATTTTTAACCATTCAGGGAAATTGAAAAAACCAGTGTGGTCTAGTAGGAAGAGCACTGGCCTTCGAGGCAGGAGACCTGGGTCCTGATGCGGCCTCAGATACTTCCTGGCCATGGGAACCTGGGCTAGGGGAAGTCATTTCACTTCTGCTTCCCTCATCTGTAAAATGGGGATCGGGAATAGCACTTAAACTACCCACCTCAAAGGGTTGTTGTGAAGAAAGTGCTTTGTGAACTATAGAGTGCTGTACCCATGAGTTTTTGTCACTATTCTTGAAACACTTCAAGTTGATGTAGCCCTAAAAATGAATGTTTGGTTTTTTAACTATTAATCCATAGGATCATAGATTTAGAACTGGAAGGGACGTTAAAGATCATCTAATCTGTTCCTTTTTAAAAGTATTTTTTCATGTGAAAGGAAAAGAAAACTTTTATTAGTGTATTGTAAATTTGTATTATTCTGCTTGTAAACTGACTGCCTTGTAGAGTGATCTTTTGGAGCAAAAATAATATTGCCACCCAGAACATGGCCAGCATTTCTCTCTGGGTTTGCATTTTTGTTGTTGTTGTTCAGTTGTGTCTGACTCTTTATGAGCCCGTTTGGGATTTTCTTGGCAAAGACACTGGAGTGGTTTGCTGTTTCCTTGTCCAGTGGATTAAGGCAAATAGAGTGAAGTGACTTGCCCAGGGTCACAGACCTAGTAAGTGTCTCAGGTCATATCAACTCCAGTCTTCCTGACTCAGCACTCTATTCACACTGCACCACCTTGCTGCCCCCAAGGTTTACATTTGCAAGAATGCAAACTGGCAGGCACTGACTTGATTGAGAGTCTGAGTTTGTTACCTATGAGACCTTGGGAGTATGATTAATCTTTTTGGGACTCCATTCCTCATCTGTAAATTGAAGGGGCCTGGCTAGATGGCCCTTGTGCTCCCTACCAGGATCTATAATCCTATGAATTTGCCTTTAGGGAATTTAATCTATAGTTGATAATTTTTAAGTGACATCTTGGAGAAGTTGAAAGCCCTGATATAATTAAACTAAGTTTAACCTTGGGAGACATAGAGGTTTGGTTCACCTTTGTTAGGTACGATGATTTTGGCTGGAGGTAACACTGAAGTGGTTCTGTGTTTTGAGTTTCTTCTTCCAGACTTGAATTATTTGGGTGGAGTGGGATTGGAAGAGAAGGGAAATTGTGGCATTAACTAAAAGGGCTTCTTAGAGCTGGAAGGGATCTTAGAGATCACCTCTTCAGCTCCCTTCTTTTATAGATAAGGAAGCTGTTGAGAGACCCTGCTAACTCAGAATCCTTGGGAGAAACCTGTGAGCTCTGCCTCCCACCTAATCTGGTTGTCTCTAAGTACTTCAGTACTCTGTAGGGCTACCTTGAATTTGTTATGGGGATAAATGACTATGTGAAACTTAAAAAACCATTTGAGTGTATAGCTTTTTTTTTCCTTTTGACAACTAGGCTTAAATATTTAAATCAAATTCTATTTTCTTTAGTCTCTAAAATCCAAATGAGCATGAAACTAGTTAGGATTCTGAGTGTTGGATTTATTTTGTACCTCCTCCCTTCCATGGAATTCAACCTGAAGCATTATCCTAAAGACTTCATTTTAACCAGAATTGAAATTGAACTGAAAAAAATTTCCCATGTTATTTCCTAGTGTGAACTGACATAAGCTGTTACTGGCTTGATTTAGAACTGTAGCTATCTCCCCGGATGTTTTAGGACAGAAAGCTGAATCAGTAAGAAGCATAGCTATTTGGGACAAGGGAATTGCCGCTGATAGCTCAAGATTCAATTAGCTCATCATTAATGAATGAAGGACAGAGGCTCCCTTTATTCATTTTAACTGAAAGTTGAAAAAGGCTTCATTTATTCAACGACTGCTAATATTTGATCATGTTATCACCATACATTTTAGCCTAATTGCCATGGCATTAGATTACCTTGTATCCCTAATTCCTTAGTCATTTTTTCAGAACTAGAAGTGAGGAGGGAACTTGGAGTCCACACATTTAAAAAGTTTGGTAGGATTAATTTTAAAATTATTTTAAAGTAAGATTAAATGGCCCAAGGAAGGTATTTTAATAAATGGAATTCAACAGTATACCTGTCAATAGTTGCATTAATCTCTTTTCTCAAAGGGTATTTTTCTGCCAATTTATGTTATTTCTGAATCAGGAAGTAAGAAACCTTTATTCAGGCCTTTAACAACTCTTTAAATAATTTTTCTTCCTTGTCTTTTGTTTAAATCGGTCTTTACCTTGGATAGCTACCAGAAGAGTTATCTTAAATCATATAATTTTAGCTTTGGAAGGGGCCCTCCAACACCTTCAATTTCCAGATGAGAAATATGAGCCTTGAAAGGTAATGTAGCTAATTTTTGGGCAAAGATGATGTCAGTTTTGGCTTTACACAGAATCCTAAAATAGGTAAAGATTAAATCCCTAGAGCATTAATGAGGAACTGATTATTTATAAACTGAGACCCTTTAGCAAAACTCTAGATTGAAAAGGTGGAATCGGGACTTACGATGTGTGCTAATCAGCGAGGCTTGTACTTCATTTCAGACTTGACTTCTTGCTGGACTTTCTCTGGACCCTTCTGAAATCAATGCTTTCACAGTGCTCACAGAAGGCTTCTTGTTTCTTTAGGTGGAGGGGATGGAGATGGAAGGGCCAGGGTTCCCATTTGCAGATGAGAATTATCCCTTAAGGATAATCTTTGAGGAGGAAGTGGTTCACTTTGGGAAATTTGAGCACTGCCTGCTTCAGTGAGCCATCTCCTCTGTATTGCTGGCCCTTCTCAGGGCTGCTTTACTTTCTTTTTCTGCCATTTCTGTAAAATGTAAGCTCTTTGAGGCCAGGAACTATTTGGTTTTTGTCTTTTTGTCTCCAATGCTTAGTACAATGTAGGTGCTTAATAAATGTTCCTTGAATTGAAATTTTGAATCATCTTTAAGGGCTTTAAAAACAATAGACTGTTTGGGAAGGAACCTCTTATCACGTCAGGTCTTAGCTAAAAGCAGGAGAAGTTGCTAGATGGATTCTCAGGGGCCCTTTCAGCTCTTTGGGTTTCCTAAATACAAATTATCCATCCATTACTGCTCAGATTTTGCTTAATAAATTCTGAATTATACCACGAATGAAAGGCAGTTTCTTTACTTCTATGAGGCATCCTCAGCAAATTACACAGGAATTAATAGATAAATCACTGCCCCTGGTTTGCTAACTTTGTATTTCCAGAATATATACTCTGTAGATACACTTATAAACTGGTCAAACATAAACTTTCTACTTAGAAGATTCTATGGGCCAAACGATTTAAATTGCTGGTGGAAAACATGAATGTGTAATAGAAGATTACCCAGAGTGAAATAATAGAGCCCAAATGTTGAGTTTGGGAAGCATTAGTACCCTAAATTTATATGTCTATCCTTTGCAATGAATCTTATCCCCTGGTACATTATCTTTTAAGTTTTCAATGAAATAGCAGATTTTTAGACCTGACAGATTGATAGCAGCTTGGCTTATGAACAGATCACAGCTCATTAATTGAGCTAGTCCTACGTTAATTTCTGGGAGGTGGAATTTTTTTTTTAAGTACAGTAGGATGGGAGGGAAGCACTAATATCATAGGAACTGAACAATTTCCAGTGGATGAATTTTATATTCTGGCAGGGGCTGTGACTCTGGCTGCCCACCTAGTCACATGTGCTCAGAGTTGAGCTTTCTAACTATGACAATGAAATTATAGCCAAGACTCGTGGATATTCCATATGTATTTTCTTCTGTGGTCTCCTTAGTGTACTTCATATCAACAAAGTCACACGTGCCACAACAGTGGAACCAATACACAATGACGTATCTTATCGATCACTGATAAAACACAGAGCCTCTAGGAAAGTCTCTGTTACAGATTTAAAGGCTTCAGATATAGGGGTGCCTACTCTTAACCTCCATTTACCTCTCTTTGGCCGGCTGAGTTCTGACTGGATGGAGAGAGAGACAGGGCTTGTTCTGTTCCTGGAAGGCAAATTTGCCAATATTCACATTGAAGCAAGTGAATTGTAGTCTTAGATATGAAGGTACAACTCTATAAATAAACGCAGAGTGTGGTACGTAGTTCAAGCTAATAGGAATAGGAGGGAAACAGACCATTTTGAGATCAACCTCTCCTTTTCTTGTTAATATTAACAGTGCTAGGTATATAGGTTTTCTCAAAAAAGTAGAGAGCCTCACATCCCCTAATTTCTTCTGGAACCTTGAAGCCCTATGTAATGTTAGGGAGGTATTCAGTAGAAGAAGGCAGTGAGTTACTCATGTTTTGGTTTTTTTTTAAACTATAAGGGCCTCAATCTTACAATCGTATTGGACATACACGTGGTACAGAATCCCATGCTTTGGCTAAATTGGCTCTGGAACATTGAGCTGAGAGCTTAGCAACTCGTCAGAAGTCTGCAGATTATACTGGTAGATAAAGAGCAAATCCACATTTGAGTTTTATTACCTGCCTGTCTTAAAGCATTTAACATTCCCACATTAATTTTGTAGTTGATACGAAATCAATTTGACATAACACTGAGTTAAATGAAATGTTTCATATAGAAATTGTCAGTCTCCTGATAAATGATCCTGCGAGTGAGATGGTTAGAAAAGATTGTTCTCGCCTTATGTAAGCTGCTGAATTCTATCCTACCTTGTCATAACTAGTTCCTGAAAATGGAACTCTGTCTTTGGAACAAGTTTGGACCAGGTCTTCAAAATGCCATCCCTGTCGAATAAAAAAACACACTAAAGCCAAAGTCTTGATACTAGGAAAAATTTAGGCCAAACAGATCAAATTAAGACAACCGTAGGGAAATGGGGCTCAGCTGTAGGAAAAGCCATTACAAATACTTCACAAAAAAAACAACTTCATCAAATATACACAATGCAGCCTTATGATACAGAGCGGAGGGCGGTAGCTGCTGCTTCCACAAAGATGCTATTACAATTTTAACAAAAATAGAGCTTAGGTGCATTTCTTTGCATGGAAATTTCATGAATGCTTCCATTTGTTAGTACAAAACATAGAAAAACATTGGCACAGTATGTAGTACTCAGCAAAATGACAGTCATTGTATTTTTTTCTTGACTACCAAAACAAGCCCTTTTTCTTTTACCAACTACATTTCCCTTTCCCTGTACAAAATCTGAGCCAGCCCTAGGCCCTTTTGCATTTGCAAATTTTATGGTTTGAAAAAGCACCTCCCTTACCAGTCACATTCAGTTACTGCTTAGACCTCTTAGAAATGCAGCATGGAGTGAGCAGCCTTTGAAAGAAAAAAACCAAATACACCATTTGCTGGGTTGCTAGTATTTATATACACGTAAAGGAGTTGATTGGGAAAAGGGAAAAAGGAGTCCAAAATCTGAATTTATGTTAAGCACAGAAAGTTGTGAGAAACGAAATGTATAAAAATATGCATTTGTGCTTGAGAAGCTTCTTAGCATACAATTCATATTTTAAAAGTGTAATGACACCCTGCAATATGCTTGGTTTCTAACATATTTACATATCTTGTAACATTTTTTTTTTTTACATCATAAAAGCAAAAGAGCGCTGTCCAATAGGCAAGTAGGTGGGCAAAAAGAAGAGTTACATATAGCATACGGCATAGCACACTGCACAGACTTGGACCCAGAAAATGTAGATCAATTTAATAAAACCTTTAAACAGCAACTGTATACAAACTTTGTTGTTGTTGTTGTCGTTTTTAAAAAGAAGTTCTTGAACATATACTTAGATTTAATGGCTTTTGTATAATACGTGCAGTGTTTGTTTCGTTGCCGCCTCCATAAGGTGGAAATATATGAAATTCATAAATCCCCCAAAGCAAGATATCCTCTCCCTCCCCCCAATTTTGGATGGCTTTTATAGGAAAGAGAACCACAGGAGTTCCTGGTGCCATTGGATGGAGCTATCATTAGGCCGGTACTCTTTTGGTTGAGCCTGTATTTATTCTGGCCAGGGGAACCACAGTTTGGCAAGAACACTATCAAACCAACAGGGTAATCAGACCTAGCTGTTTGGTTCATTTCATGCTGGGTCTTCTTAGAGGCGGCCATCCTCTAGGGAATCTTTTCATGAGGAATCTTTATTGACATTAATACTCAAGAAATAATCAAGTCATATGGTGACATTTGCTCTTTTTTTGAGGACAAGATGTGAAGGTTCACTAACCCATATATATGCTCGTCATCCAGGTGAACAGAATATGTAAGATAGCCATTTGCTAGCGACAACAGCGGAAATGACCTTGCAAAGTATCTGCCCTCCCTCAAATGTTCAATAGAACATTTACTCACCTGTGTTAGATACATAACTTTCCAGGAATGAAATGCTGGGAAATTCAGACAATTTAAGAGGAAGTATTAACTGTTAGCTCCTTAATCTACAGCTGTTAGCCTCACTTCAAATGGAAATACACATGTCCCTCTCTTCTCCATTACTAAGTGATTCACAGTGTAGCTTGTAGATTAAGAGGTCTCATTTTGTGGCCTTTCCTCTTTAGCTGTCAGATGGAAGCCTCAGGCTCTTGCATTTTAACTCATCCAGCATTTTCCAGTGTTTGTAGTTATCAGCCAAATGTTGCATCAGAGCTGGGAGATGTGCAAATGCTGTAGGGATACACAAAAATCAAAAGAAACCTGTTGTATTAAGTTAAGCTGGGAAAAAAAAAAATTTACAGGGCCGTGTCTCTAGGCCCTAGAGTCAATTCACTAGACTTTATTTTGCTCATTCTTGGGAACTGAGTTGCATATGTTTAAATGATCTGGTTATAAGATAAGAATAAAATATCCCTTGACCCTTAGTGGGGTCTGGTAGTAAGAGGATGGTAATCCATCACATACGTTTTGTCTGAGAGTAAAATAGAAGCTAGAGAAAGGAGGTGAATAGAGACAGAGCAGTGTTGCTGCTGCTACTGCCCAGAGCTGAAGAACTGTCTAATTCTTGCCCCTCGGAGGGAAAATACTGTTTTAGACAACTTAGGATGAACTTTTTCATGTATCTAATATTGTAAATGTTAAAAACAAATCACCTAATATAAACCCCCAAAGTAAGCTGCATTTTAGGAAAAATGAAGAAAGTCACATATCCACACATACCCGCCATTAAGAAGTGTGTTTTGGCACTTTACCAACCAGATCTAGGAACTAGCATTTCTAAAGACTCTAATACTGAGCTCTGGAAACAAGGACAAATTGCTGGAGTAACTTAACACAACAGAAATAAATTCTAATAATCAGGTATTTTTGGGAACCTACAAGCACCTGTTGCACTTGAGCACCTTTGCAGGTGTGACATTTTAATCTTGATGGCTAGGTTATTTTTGGACATCCATCAATCCCATGTCTACTCAATCACCAAATTCTGTTGATTCTCCCTCTTGGATGTTTCCATTCCCTTCTTTTCATTTCCATTGTTGCCAGTCAACTTCAGAAGCTCAATGTCTGGGCTTTTGCCTCCAATCTGCACCCTCTACCTCTTGACATCTATCATCTCTCTTTGACAGATCTCATCTGTCAAAATCCTATCCATCCTTCATGGTCAAAATCAAATGCCACCACCTCCATGAAGTCTTCTCAGACTATGCTCTCTTCCCTGAGCGATTTGTCCCTTTGAGCTCTCAAAGCATTTTGCTTGTACTTTTCATGGCACTTTGTGGTACATTCTCTATTATATTATACATTCTGAATTATATTCCATAGTATAGATCTTGAGTTATCTTTGCTAAAAAAGCTATTTGAAGGCAAGGACCATGTCTAATTTTTCTTTATGTCTCCCAAAACACATGTATGCTCAGTAAATTTTTGCTGAATGAACGAATGGGCTGGGTTCCTTGTGTTCTTGTACTGTTATTATAGTAAGGCAATAACAATTCCTTTCTGGCTAACTGAAATCTCAGTCTAAGCAGGTGTTTCTTGGAGAAAAAGAAAACATAAACTTCCTTACCATCCCAAGCATCAAACATATCCGTTATGAAGTAGTCAATGAAGGAGATCTGGGACTTTGGGATGCTGCAAGTATTTCGATCAAATACTGGCATCACCACCGGTAGCCCTTGTCTCTTCTCTTCATCTGTCTACAAAAATAAAGAAACAAATAAATATGATTAGCTTTGTGGTTTTGCTGCTTCTCTGGATTTCATTTCAGGAGCTTATGCTATCCTTCCAACCCAGTGAGATCACCACCCCTCCCTGCTGTAGAAGGTCCACATATAGACTTGGCTTCTCGCATACCTTCTGCTACAAGTGGTCCCATGGACTGCTCAACACTACCCTTCACTTTCTTTTCCCTGCCTCTATTTATTTTCCCCAGGCTTACCTCTTTGGTATTCTTTGCAATCCTATGGATTCACCTATGGACTATGTTCTATATAACACCCTTCTCCATTCCAGTTTGCCCAATCATACCTTCTTTCCTCTTTCACTGAGCTCCTAAAAACTCATTCTTCTATGTGACTTCCTTTACTACATGGAAGGAGAATGACAATTTCCTTCACCCAGCTTCCTTCTTGGGTCTCAGATAACTCACAAAATCAACGCTGAAAACTGAAATGTGTAACGAATGGAACAGAACTCTTTTCTTCTGTTGCCATAGGACAGGCCCAATATCTTGTGTCCTGCCCCCCCCAGACTAAGTAATTGTAAGGTTAGCATTTAACACAGTGCCTAGTACATAGTGGGTACTTAATAAATGCCACGTGACTGCCTGTGACCTGTCAATTTGGATAGGAAACCATTTTCTAAAAAGTTTAGCATCTTCTAGGATAAAAGAGGTTTAGCTGATATTTTAAAGGACTTTTTTTTCCTCCTAGGGGTTTTAAGCAGAGATTTAACATAGTTTCAACACCCAGCATTCTTTGTTTATGGTTATATTTTGGGGAACATGATGGCTAATAGTGAATCCGAATCTGTATAGTAATATTAAACCATAAAATAACAGGCTCCTACTGTATTTATTCTTCATAGGTTGGATTTTGCATTGTGCTATTGGGATAATTACAAACTGATTTTGACTTTTTAAAAGGTTAGTCTAAGTTGCTGGAATATTGAATGTTTTAAAAGAATTACAGTTTTATTCTTTACAAATATATGCTGTAACTCAAATTAGACTTAAGTATAGTTCTTCAATCTACCTGCTTTAGAAAGGTCCTTCAGGAGACTGGCATAGAGTATGTGCTTAATGAGTGTTAAGATGTAAGGTATGTGTAATTCATACTTGGCATGTAGATGAATTGTTGCTAGGCAGTGCTTTCAATACTTAAGGAAAGGTCAGAAGTTTGTTCTTTTAGGTATTCTAAGCATTCCCCACCCTTGTGCTTTTACTCATACTATCATTTTGTACAAACTACATGGAGAAGAGCTACTTAGCAAGGGTCAACTTTGATCTGATCTCTCTCCTATATGATTTATAGAAAATTCCAAGATAGCCGCCTCCAGATGAGTGAATGGGTCTTTTCAGTATTGCATGAAACAGAGTTGCACAGAACATTAGTGCTGGGAGAGACCTTAGACCATCTAGTCCAAGAACTGGACAAACTGTAGCTTCATGGGGCCACCATAGTGGATGGTGCCTCATTCAAGGGCGTGGTTGAGAGTGTCAGCATTGCCCCTCAGAGATTACATGGACATGTTACATGACAAGGACTGTGGCTTAAAATGCCCAACATAATACTCTGTGTAAATAAATCATATTGAATTCCAGAAATTCAAAGATGGAAGGAACATGTTATCCTAGTGGCCTAATACAGTGGGAAGAGCACTGTGTTTGGAGTCAGAAGTTCTGGGTTTGAATCCTAATTCTGCCATTCTCTGTGTGTCACTGACGAAGTCCTTCACTTCTCTGTGACTCAATTTTCTCATGTGTAAAATGAAGGGATTGGATGTGATGACCACTTCAGTCCCTGACTTGAAAAATTCAAGTGGCTCCCTATCACTTCCAGGATCAAATATAAAATCCTGTTTCTTATTCTGTGAGAAAAATGGGCCATTTGGACCCCTACTTCATTCCAATAAATATTAATCAGATTGTTATTTTACATAAATCATATAAGGATAATTAGATAAGATAGGTTCTTATAGTAGGCCTTTATAGTGGGCCTCAAACTTTAATCCAACGCTCACTACTTGTTTACCAGTTATGAAGCTCACTTGGGCAACCACAAGAATGCTGACAAAGATATCTCCATCCTGTTCTGCTCAAATTCCACGTCCAAGCCTATCATGGGTAGGAGATTTTTTGTAATATGGAAAATACCCTAGTTTGTTTTTGTGCTTCTGGGCCACCCTATTTTGTCCAATATGAGCAGGTGACCATCTTAAGACCAATTAGTGGAGATGGCCCTTGCCTTGCTCATGTTGAGACCACCCATTCTGACGTATCATTTCTAGCTCCCCAGGACAGTTGAAATCAAGGTCTATTAACCAACGAGATTCTGTATTTTATCATTCTTCTTTTGCGTATTTGGATGTCAGACTCTATAAAAGTAAGGCCCCTGGGAAAGGGGACATCTCAGATCATGAGGAAGATCTAAGGTCCTCTTCATTAGAGGAGCTATGGAACCATTAATAAAGTGCTATTGACTTGGAGTTCTGCCTCAGTGATTTTTCTTGCAGATTGGACAACTTTGAACCCACAATTCAAAGCCCTTTATAACCTGCCTCCCTCCCCCCACCTTTCCAGTCTTCTGACACCTTACATCCCTCTCACACTCTCTGATCTAGTGTCACCAATCTCCTTGCTGTTTCTCAAACAAGAGAGTCCACCTCTGGATTCAGGGCATTTTCACTGGCTCTCCCCCAGGACTGAAAGGTCTCCCTCCTCATCCTCACCTCCTGGCTTCCTTTTCTTCCTTCAAGTCCCAGCTAAAATTCCACCTTCTATAGCAAATCTCCTTTAATTCTAGTCCCTTTCCTTTGTTATTTCCTACTTATTTTGTATGTTGCTTGTTGGTACATAGTTGTTTGCATGTTCTCTCCCCTGTTAGATTGTGAGCTCCTTGAGAACAAGGTGGTTTTTTTCTGTGTGTGTGTGTGTGTGTGTGTGTGTGTGTGTGTTTTGTTTTGTTTTTTTTGCCTTTCTTTGTGTCCCAGTGCTTAGCAGGAGTTCCTGGCAAAAAATATAGTCACTTAATAAATGTTTATTGACTGCTTATCCTATTCTAGCTTCAGTTCTATGATCTCATGAGCCAGTAGCTACCTAAAACAGTGATGTACAAATTCAAATAGAAATGATGCCAAGCAGACCACAAATGACTTAGGAAACCACAAATTAGCATTAGGTGGCATAATGTTGTCCTGGAGTCAGGAAGACTTAAGTTCAAATCTGGCCTCAAACACTTACTAGCTGTGTGACTCTAGGCAAGTCACTTAACCCTGTTTGCCTCAGTTTCCTCATCTGTAAAATGAGCTGGAGAAGGAAATGGCAAACTACTCCAGTATCTTTGCCAAGAAAATCCCCAGTGGGGTCATAAAGAGTTGGATGTGATGAAATGACTCAACATGTTCTGTTTTTATTTATTTTGCTAAACATTTCCCAGTTACATTTTAATCAGGTTCCTGCACACTCAGGAGTTAGTGTTTGGGGCCTGAAGGATAACCACCAGTTTAGCACTTCTGCTCTACACCATCCTCCCAAGGTGGTCATCAAGCCTTTCCTTTAATGAGGGGGATCCTGTTCACTTGTGAATAATCTCATTGCTAGGAAATTTTTCCTTATACTAAGTCAAAACCTGCTTCTTTGCATCTTCTACCTGCTGCTTCTGGTTCTGCCTTCTGGGTGAAACAAAACATATCTAAACCCTTTTCACACAGCAGCCCTTCAAAGACCTGAAGTTGTCCAAGATGGTGGACAACTATCTTTTTTTATTAATTTATTTTTAGTTTTCAACAATCACTTCCATAAGCTTCTGAGTTTTAAATTTTTCTCTCCCTCCCCAAGACAGTGTGCAATCTGATATAGACTCTACATATACATTCCTATTAAACATATTTTCACATTAATCATGTTGTAAGTAAGAATTAGAACCAATAGGAGGAACCACAAGAAAGAGGAAACAAAAAAAAAACAGAAGAAAAAAAATGCAAATACTATCCCTCGATCTGCATTCAAACTCCATAGTTCTTTCTCTGCATGTGGATAGCATTTTCCATCATGAGACCTTTAGAGATGTCTTACATCCTTGCATTGCTGAGAAGGGTTAAGTTTATCAATATTAGTCATCACACAACGTGGCTGTTACTATGTACAACGTTCTCCTGGTTCTGCTCACTTCACTCAGCATCAGTCCATACAAGTCTTTCCAGGTTTTTCTGAAGTCTGCCTGCTCATCATTTCTTATAGCACAACAGTATACCATTACATTCATATACCACAACTTGTTCAGCCATTCCCCAGTTAATGGGCATCCTCTCCATTTCCAATTCTTGGCCACCACAAAAAGAGCTGCTGTAAATATTTTCGTACATGTGGCAGTGGACAACTATCAGGCTCCACTCCCAAGCTTCTCTTTTCCAAACCTAGTCATTCCCAGTTTTTTCAATTGAGGCTCAAAAGGCATGAGCTTGAGTCCCCTCACCATCTTAGTCACCTGACTCTGGATGTCCTCTAGCTCATCAATGCCCTTCTCAAAAGGTGGTACACAGAACTGAATAATACAGTATTCCAAATATGAACAGGCTGGGGCAGACTATGCCTTCTTAGTCCTGGACACTGTGGCCTTCTTTTCTTCTCCCTCTATACTATTTTACTTAATGATTTTTATGATATTTCATGAATTCAATCATCTCTAAGCTAATGAATCAAATCTACTTATACAGCCTTAACCTCTCTAACTTCTAAATTCCCATCTCCAATTGCTAATTAGACATCTTGAACTGGATGTCCAGTAAACATTTTAAACTCAACAAGTTCAAAACTGAAGTCATCTTTCCCCAGAAAGCTGTCCCCTTTTCTGAATTCCTCTATTACTTCTGAGGCCACCACCATCTTCTCTGTCACCCAGACTAGAAACCTAGGTGTCATTCTTGACTCCACAGTCTCTTTCAACAACCCCCCCCATCCAATCTTTGCCAATGCATGTTGATTTTCTTTTCATAACATCTCTCAACTATTGCTCCCTTCTCTCCTCTGACACTGCCACCACCCTGGGACAGGTCCCCATCACCTCACTCCTAGACCAGGGCTTCTTAAACTTTTTCCACTTGTGACCCCTTCAGTACTTGTGGGTCACGACCCACAGTTTAAGAAGCGCTGTCCTAGATTACCGCAGTAGCCTGCTGGTTGTTCCTTGCTATGTCTCTCCTGCTCCAGTCCATCCTCCACTCAAAGTGATCTTTCTAAAAGTGAAGGTCTGACCATGTCATCCTCTCCACCTCCTTCTGCTCCTCCATCTCCTCATCCTGTGCCTTGCCCCACTGGTTTACCTTCTGAAGCTCTTGTCACCCAAGTCATTCTCCTCCAGTCTTTCTTTGCCTTTAGCTTCTGTCCAATACCCTTCATTCCACAGATGGAGATTCTGAGAACCATTGAGGTAAAGTGACTCCAAGGTGACACAGCTAGTTAGAGGCAGAACCGAGGCTCAAACTCAGGGCACCTGAATCCCAGCTCAGAGTTCTTTTCACTATTGCTGAATGACTCTAAAACTACTATTTTATCATCTCACTCTTGTTCAATTCAACAAAACATTTATTAAGCACCTACTATGTGTAGGTACTGTGCTAGGTGCTGGTGATGTTAAAATGAAAAATGACTGTCTCTTGTTCTCCAGGAATTATATAATCTATATCTATATCTATATAATCTATATAATAGATAATCTATATAATAACCTATATAAACTATATAATCTGCCATAATCTAGTAGAACCTTCCCTCCTTGAACTGATACAGGGCCTATCCTAAGTACCTAGCAGCTTAATTTAGACAGATTGTATGTTAATAATACCTAGCATTTAATGCTTTAAAGTGCTAGTGAACATTATCTCATTTGATCCTTACAACAGCCCTGGGAGGTGTGTGTTATTATTATCCCTTCTTTACAGATAAGGAAACTGAGGGAGGCAGCAGTTAATTAAGTTTCCCAGGGTCACACAGTTAGGAAGTGTCTCTGAGGCCGGATTTGAACTCAGGTCTTGGTGACTCCAGGTCTGGTGCTCTAACCATTGCGCCACCTGGCTGCTGATTTACTATAATGTGAAGCTTTCTGGTTGTTTCACACATAATAGCTTTGCCTTGCCAGTTAGTCGGTAAATTGCTGGAGGGGAGAAGCTATAGCAGACATTTCTTTTGAATCCTCCATAATGCCCAACATGGTACAGTATGATGCGGTAGAAGGAAGCCTGAATCTGAAGCCATGAAAACTAGATTTAAGTTCTTGAGTCTGATAGTGGCTATGTAAACCTGGCCAAGTGACTTCACTCTAAGTCTCAGTTTCTTCATCTGTAAAATGAGCTTAAAATATGGGAATTTCCCACTTCATTGCCTTATTATGAGGAAACTATACTTTGGAAATTGTAAAGTGCCATCTCAATGTGAGAGCTTGTAGGTACTCAGAAGTACTTTCGAGGTAGCCAGGTGTTGCAGTGGATAGAACACTGGCCCTAGAGTCAGAAGGACCTGAGTTCAAATCCGGCATCAACCACTTATTAGTTGTGTGACCCTAGGCAAGTCACTTAACCCTGATTGCCTCCAAACAACAAACAAACAAACAAACAAAAAAGAAGTACTTGTGAGATCTTCAGAGATCCCAACTGTCTTGCCCAATCTTCCCATCTAGGAAAGCAACAACATGCATCTGAAGCTAGAATAATTGGTGCAATGGATAGAGTGCTGGAGTTGGAGTCAGGAAGACCTGAGTTCAAATCCTGCCTCAGATACTTCCTAGCTGTATGACCACAGGCAAGTCATATTAACTTCTGTCTGCCTCAGCTGCCTCATCTGTAAAATGAAGATAATAATAGCACCTACCTCCCAGGGTTGTTGTGAGGACAAAATAAGATAACACTTGTAAAGTGCTTTGCAAACCTTCAAGTACACTGTATAAATACTACTTCTTGTTGAAATTGCACTAAGACTTTTTGGATATCATAGATATATATTTACATATATAATACATATAAATGTATCTATATACATTATTTACAGATAAATAATGAAACATCTCTATATATAAATTATGTGCACACACACATACACACATACTTACAGATGAGGAGCTGAAGCCTAAATAAAGAGGTTAAGTGACTTTGCCTAATCCAAATTTTTCACGTGCAATTCAAGGCAGTTTCCTCTTCTCTTGCTTCTGTGCAGAAGAGCCATGGGCCTCTACCTCAGCACTGAGTCAGGGATGTGAAGTCCTTTCTCTCTTTTCTCTGGTCTAATGTGTGCTATTAAACATCAAAGACCACGTACAGGCAAGGAAAATAAAGAAGGGTCTTTCATATTTTCTTTCCTCTTTTTGCTTTGGCTTTGCTGCCTTCACATTATAGCCTTTACTTGGAATATTACAAGTTATCACATTTTCAATTACTCCCCCTCCGCCACTAAGACAAGAATAATCAATTCTCCACAAAGCAAATTATCAGAGACTTTTTTTTGTTGTGATTGTTCAGTTGTTTTTCAGTTGTGTCCAACTTTTTGTGATGCCATTTGGGGTTTTCTTGGCAAAGATACTGGAGTATTTTGTCATTTTCTTCTCCAGCTCATTTTACAGAAACTGAGGCATACAGGTTGAGTGATTTGCCTAGGGTCACACAGCTAGTAAGTGTCTGAGCCCAAATTTGATCAGGTCTTCCTAACTCCAAGTCTAGCATTCTATCCACTGTGCCTCCTAGCGGAGACTTTACTTGATAATTAATAAAAATCACAACTCAGTTACATAGCACTTTAAAGTTCACCACACAATAACTCCATGGGGTGGTTAGTGAAGATATCATCCTTGCCATTTTGCATGAGGAAACTGAGGGCCTAAATGATTTTCCCAGGATCTTCCAGTAAGTGGTGGGCGGAATCACAACTTGAACCCATCTCCTGATTCTGGTTCTCTGGGTTCATCTGCCTTTTGCAGTCTTCTCCACAAAGCGCCTTGGGTAGCCTTTCTCTCTTTGCTCCTCCCACCCCAACCTGGTCCAAATTAGACAAGGAGAACAGAAGTCTGAACTGTAGATATCAGGACCCCAGAGGTAGGAGGAAAACGCAGCTGGGACCAGCCTAGACCTTATTATTCCCCCATGTCCTTTCTCTTCTTCCTTCTCCGTTGCCTTTAGCACTCTCAATCCTTCCTTCCCCATCTCACAAGGGTTTTGCTGACTTTCTGCTAACACGCGTAACTTTCATCAAACGTAGGAACGTTTTTGTTATTCTCTAACTGGATCCTTAGAGTCGAGAGCT